GATAGGGAAGTATTTTAAAATCGATTATTAGGGCTCTAGTACACTCTATAATAATTACACCCGCTCTTTCAAACTTTCCGTTCATCTATAGGGTATATATTGTAGTTTTATAAATTTGAATAACTTCTTCTCTAATCTACCGATATAATTAACTATTCTAGAATTCTTTAATTAGTAAACCCTATTCTAGGCTACCGTTAAAGCTAATAATCTTAACCTTAAAACCTATCTAGAGCTCAATCCATTTCTTAAACTATTTCAATTTAATAAAGGCCTCTCCCTTAATCTTATAAAAATCTACCTAATAATAGCTAGAATTTTTATATACAAAATAGACGTAATAGCGCTATGCTAAATAGTTTAAATGATTATACTAAATAATATCGGCTCGAATAAATTAAATTAGAATAGTAGTGATTACATAAGCGTATTTAGGCATAATATTAATAGCCTTTACTTTTATACAACTATAATAAATATAATTTCATATATTATTAAATATAATACCTACTTCCTAATAAGTTTTTATAATTTATTCGTTTCTAGCGTACATTATCCTTTTATATATTATTAAATAATTAATAAAAGCTAATATAACGTTCTTAGTTTCGATTTTGGACTAAGTGAAATTATAAAGTTATATAATCAGAAGGACTACTAATTCATTAACGTAATTATACTAAATAGTTACTTCTAATTCTATAAATTAATTTAGTTACTTTTCATATCCTAGATTAAGCCGCCTTTTAAAAGAACCCTAATTAATAATAAATTAGCTAGTATTAAAAGGGAATAAATAATATTTTTAATTAGGATTCCAATATGAATATTTATCGTTATTAGTATTATTAATTCGATTATACTAATATAGTAAAATAGGGTAACTATACTATCGCTAATAATATATTTAATTAATTCTAATAAAGGTCAAAAATCTATAAACTATTTAATATGATTAAAAATATTAAATCTATAGCCTAAATTATAGACCACGAAATCTTTTATAAAGTTTAATATTGCCTTAAAAGCTTATTAAATTTCAACAATATTATACAATAAATATTACATCTAATATAAAGTAGAATTAATATACTTTAATCTCGCTATAAATTCTAATAAAAATTCTATTTAATATAAGTATTAATATAACTTTTATAACTAAAATTACTAAAGAGTAAAATAAATCTAATAATACTAAAGGTAGTTAGAATTATATTAATAATTCTAATTACGGCGGTAGTACTAATATTAGTAGCCTTCTTCTTAATAGCTTCCTTCTTTTTAAACTAATTAGCAGGAGCCTAATTAGGGTCGTACTACTAGCAATTAGTTATACGAAGGTTATAATAATAATTATATAGGAAATATTTTAAAACTCTTATATATAATTTAACCACAATCGGTATAAGTAGTATACTTAAAATCCTTATAGACCTTATTATTAGTAAATGAAGAATTTTTATTATTAGAATCCTTCTTATTATTAATCTTGATAACCGATAAAATAGTATTAGACTTCTAAATTTAAAGAATTAAGTTAATTATACGAGCCTTAATATTACCGAAAGTAAATAAATAAGTAAAAAGCTAGAAGGTAGTAAGCTTATCTTTAGCTATCTCTATAGCCTATAATTTAACGTTAATACTATACTAACGTTTAATTATATTATAAAAATTAAAAACTTTAACCTTTTCGTCAATCTTAAAGCTATATTCAACGACGCGCTTACGTAAGAAGTTATAACGGATGAGGAAAGAGGATATAGAACTGAAATTACCGCGACGGAAATTAATATACTCCTCCAAAATATCTACACGAACTTCATTAATAATTTTACTAACAATTTTACAAATAAAATTATAGAAATATTTAGGGTTAGTACTATCCTAATCCTAGCCGTTAATATTGAAAATAGTAATAACTTTATTATCCTTAAAGGTAGTTTATATAATTTTTATAGCTTTAATTCTATTAATACGCTAAACTTTATATTTATTAAGTTTAATAACTTTAGTAGGCTTAGGAATATCGGTAATAATATATTCGAAGATATTAGCGCAATTAAATTTATATTATAAAGTACAGTTCTAATTATTAACGTTAAATTCGCTTTTAAGGACGATGAGGGAAGAAATTTCACCTATCGTATAATCATTAGCTATTAAAATTAATAAAACGAAAAGTAAAATAATCTAAGGAGGAATAATTAGTATATTTAATAAGCTTTAAATAATTTTTATAAAATCGGTGACGAATAAATAACGATGGTAACGTAGGAGGGGAAAGGTCGATCGTAATCGTATAGCGAGGTTACTAATATTATCGATAATTAATTAATTTACTTTCGTTAAATTACTTCCTTTAAGGTTAGTTATAATTAACGTCGCTTAATTTGGGGGGGGAGGGATGGGGGGTGATAACCTATCGGTCGCAATACAACGTCGAAATTAATTAATTAGGGTACTTTATCGGTCAATTCGACATCGAAAACGAAGGTTAATAGGGGGGTTTCTTATTGGTCGTACGCAACATCGAAGAAATTAAGGTATTGCTTATACAATAGTTATTAAATAACAGTTACGTCGAAAGGGCTTATAACCTATAAATAGGCTGAACTTAACGAAAGGAATTAATAATAATAGTAATATATTAAGTTGTAGAGGGGAAGACTCGAGAAGTTTGGAAGTCTAGAAATGAGTGAGAGGGAGCCCTGTGCGGTGGGGCCATGGCCTGGTGAAGGGAGCCATGGCTGGCCGCACGTGACACGGGACACCTCCAACATACTATCATGTTCTCACACCCACAGCTGATTTTCCAGTACAAAAGCAATCTGCCCCCCAACCACTTCCGTCAACCTCGGATCTTCCCCACCACCTTCTTCCATCCAAAAAACATGCTCTCCTCGCGTCAACTCATCTGTTTCAAGAACGCGAAAGGCAAAGCTCACCCGGCCATCCAGGGCTATCACTTTCACCGTTCGCATCAAGTTCTGTTTTCAGTTGCAGCATAATCACGAATCGGCAGACCAAAATCTTCAGACCATCTTGCGCCTCTTCACCACCTCCGTAGCGGTCGTCACCCAAGGTTCACTGGGTATACTATCACACACAAAGCTATACTAGCGACCTCTCCAATCCCTCCTCCCGATACCCGCCCTGGTGCTCTCGGCCATACAATATTATCAACATCGACGACGTCTTTTCCACTGGCCCAGCAGGTACTACTGCCAGTCGCAGGCCTCCTCCAGGAGCCACACCACAAACTGCCTTTGTCGTGCCGGACTCTCCCACGGATGACAGCTTCGCGGCCGGCGAAAGCCCACGTCCTCCTCCCCGCCCCAATCGGTCGAACTGGCGGCCATTATGACACTCTCCGCGGTTTTCTAGCCCAGCGGATGCTGTCGGCGGATTTCGATGACCACCGCAGGAGTAAAGCCCCGTCACAGTATCACCATGGCGGCGGCAGAGGCTAGAGCAGCCGTTTTATCTCACAACTACCGCCAACAAGGCCAGGAGCGTTTCAACAACTGGAAGCTTCCGGATCGTTGGGTAGCTTCAGTACCTCTCAGAACGGCATACCTCGGATCCACTGCCACCACCTACGCGGGAGGCAGCGGCTCCTCAGGCCCAGGATTCTCTCCTAGGCGCTCGAGCTCTGCCCGGATTTCTCTAGGTGATCGACTAATTCTTTGGTTAGCTCATATGGGCTGTGGATGGAGTGAGGTTGAGATGTCGTAACTGAGCCAGATGTTAGCGGCGTTGTGTTAGTGTCGATGGCTGCAATTACCGAGACCCTGAGGGCCAATTCGTGGAGGATGCCGGTCATCGGTGACTCCAAATGCATTTTGCATGGGTCCGACTGGACCTTTTCCAGTGGAAGGTTTGATGTTTGGCGGCGTATCTCGCTGCGATGGGATTCCGGTAAGGCCATCCTTTTCTGATTTGTATCGACTTATAAGAGTCGGTTGGGTCTATGCGGTTATAGTTAACCGCATAACCTCCCTCCCCACTCTCCTACTCTCCTGGCAGTAAGATCCGTCGCACCATAGTGCGATTTCGGTCATTCCTCCCCCCCCCTCCCCAGCAAACGCCTCAAAAGGCCCAAGGCGCTACTCAGCGCACTCCGAGGAACAAGGCAACCTGGTGAGGGAGTAAATGGCGAAGGTTGAAGCCGTTGATCTTCCAGTCCGCCCAATCGTATTTGTCCTTGAACACGTTGTAGTCGAAGGGGGGGGGCGGGATTCTCCACCGCGACGGGCTCACTAACACTGCGCCCCAAGGCCCGAACATCCCTGATGATGAGTTCAGAATCACTAAAGAGTTTTTGGAGCGGGTGCTTCCGCTCTACCAAACCCTTGATGGCCATACCAGCCGCAATGTCCTCTTTCACTCTAGCCCTAGTAATCTCCTATGATTCACTAGGTGCCTGAGTGTGTTTGGTAATGCGATCGACTATTTCCCCTGCTGCGTTGATAAAATTAGAAGTGCGTCTAGGCCGGTAGAAAAGCGGGAAGCGTTTGGTATCAGTGAACGGCATTGTCATTACTGCCGGCTACTACTGCTTATCCAAGTCGTCGAGGTATATATTGAGCGTGCGCATATCCAAGCGTGGGGCCAGATCCATACTGAACTTGGCGGCGTTCTTAGCGATGTCCTTTCGTGCCTTGCGATCCATCTTAACACCCGAAGCGATCTTGTGATACACCGTTTGTGAGACGACGAAAGCAGTCCGGACATACATTCTGGCCGCCATGCGATCCAGTCGACCAAACTTCTTCAGCTCCTCCTCGGTGACAGTGTAGTCGCACTCCGAGGAACAAGAGACATGAGGTAAGTTCTTGTTTACCGTTAAAAACAACGTGGAGAACATATGCTGATGGTATCTAGGTCCCCACCACTTGGGAACCTAGGGAGACGAGAGGCAGTAGCAAGAGAGCTGCGCCCAGCGGGGATATCAACCCATCACCTACAAAGAGAGCTGGAAGTGTGTGAGCTTTACTATGCTGCCTCCGCCTCACCCAGATCATTCTGAGCCCCGCGACCCCTCTCCGGTGCCCGACGGCCCAGACCTCATGACAAAGGGAGAAGAGCAGGCCGACGAAGGTTGCCATGCCCCGCTAGATGAGCAGGCGCTCGTCGATACACAGCTCCTGACCGAGTGTCATGAGAATTATATTCGTTCTTGCCGGGAGATGGCCGTTCATGCGGCCCAAATTGCCTCGCTACAAAAAGAGGTCAAAGAGTTGAAGACAGCGAACAAGAAGCAGGAGGATATGATCACCGCCCTATACCAGCATTTCCTACCTGGTGTTTCTACCCAAACTGACGCACACGAAGTTGAGGGCAGCGTTCAACCGGAGGTTGGAAGTGGCCAGCGGATTGCGAAGGCAGCCAGGGAAGTCCTCAAGGGAGAGTTCAGTACTACATTGTATGATTGGTATAAAGTCTGGATCCACCAGACTGATCCCTATAGGACTCCATTCATGCGTGCCATTCCATCCGATCTTGACCCTCCTGCCCGGCTGCCCCTTCACTGGCAGGTCGACAAGTGAATGCCCTTCCACTGACCATATATCTCGTCAGATTTCTGCTCCCAGCTCCCATCTCACCCTTCCTTCTCTCCTTTATTTGCCAAACTTCCATTCTCGACAACCTAAGATATCCTAATAGCACTACGCAAGCAACCTTTTATCTTGCAATTTTCCCCCTTTTACTCTCTCTTGTCTCACCACGACGACATACTCTTTCGGCTACTAGCTCACCAGTCCACCAGGCCACAATATCGTCCGCCAACTCTTCCAGAATTGCTAGCGACCAAGTCGACAACCATAACTCCGTCGCAGCACCTGTCGCCGACCCTGTCGCCGCACCAGGCACTGACTCCGCTGCATCTGTCGCCGCCGCCGCTGATGATAAAGAAGACTCTCCCGAAGAGGGAGAAATCCGCGAAGAGGAAGACGACTCGCTTGAGGAGGGCGAGATCCGCGAGGACGAAGACGATGATTCCCCAGAGAAAGGCGAAAGTAAGTTGATCTCCTTTCCCTTACCCTTCTTTGACTCCTTTTGGGCCGTGTGCCACTCTCGTCGTTTCTCTCTCCCTTTCCCACCAACCTCTCCCATTACGGTGTCCCTCCGTGACATGTTGGCCCGAGAGCCGATCTGGTTCGCCCAAGAAGTTTGCGATGATTGTATTTTGGTTGTTCCCGTAAGTCTCATTCCAGAATGGTGGTTTCTCGCAATCATGGACAACTGACATTGCCGTAGGGATTTGGATGGTCCTCAACTTGCTCTGTGTCAACGGGCAAAGGCTACAATTTCTTTTCGGAAGTCCCCACCGCCAGTAACACACATCTGCCCTTATCTTTTGTTCCCACCAAAGCCACACCTCTACACTCCCTTCTATCAGCCTTAGGCCCAATCTCAGCAAGGAGGCTCTCGCCGAGCTGGCCAAGCAGGAGAAGAAAAGGAAGGCTAGAGAGAAGCGTGCGGCCAAGAAGAAGTAGATGGAGGCCTTGGCTTCACAGGGGTCCAAACTGGTCGACGTTTCCGACTCCCTCCAAGCCTGGCACGAAAGCACATACGGCGGGGGACTCCCATCAAGCCCGCTCCTACCCCTTCTCGTCGTCAGAGCCTCCCCTCCATCCAAGAAGCTACCACCCTGGAGGGTTGGTGAGGAACCCCACCCGCTGGCCTCTCCCCTTGACACCCTGAAGCCTAATGACATCCGTGTTAAAGGCAACCGACAAGTGTATGTCGCTGCCCTTTTGGCCTTGCAGTCTTCAGTCTCTGCGGCTAGGCTAGGCTGTACTTGAGCCGTAGCTCACGATGCTCTTCTGGGCGGTTTATCTTCCGGTCCCAGTACTGCTTCTTATTTCCACGGACTTTTCTTGGCTACCATGGCTTGCCAGCGCTCCGGGTACATCAGCTTCATCATGTGGTAATATTCCCGATGTCTCTTTTTATAAGCTTCGTGTCCTTCCTCCGCCGACACTTCCAACACATCGATATCAGCCTCCGAGATGCTAGTTGCGTCAGGGTCGGTCGCAGTTGTGTCATGCTGGGCATGACCGAAATTGACTCCTTCGATGAAGGCCGCGTGGGTACAAAGCCCGTCAAAAGTCAGGGCTGTGTAGGGCCACGGGCAGATCTCAGGCAGGCCTAACTGGTCGGGAGACTTGGTATCGTGGTATGCCCAAAGGGCCGATGTTACCATCGTTCAGCGCTTTACGGTTCACGCCTGGTCCTTCCAGTCAGCCTTCATGCTTGACGGCGGTTGTTTGCTTGGTCTCCTCCCTTCTTTGATGCCCGGATCATATCTCCCACTCTTTGTTTTCGCCTATTACGCCTCCCTTACACCCACACACGCACACATCTTTGGCAGTCACCTTTTCTGTTGATATCTGAGTTTGTCAGCTTTCCATGTTGGTCATTTGCCTTCGCAAAGCTTCTCACCAAACGACGACGACATCCAAACTTAAAGGATAAAAGGCAGCCCCTAATCCTCCATCCAGCATTGTTTTGCGTGTCTCCCCTTTCCATCTTCTATATATACCTACCTAGTCTTGCCACGTCATTTTAACAACACACCTCAACCTTGAATCGAGATGGATCTAACACCAAATTCTCATCTAGTCGACGAGAGCGCCGAAGACACGGCCATTGTAGAGGACTCCTCTGCTGCCGGCCCTAGTAGTGCATCTACTACCCCCTCAACTAACCCAGTGGTCGCTTCCTCGGGCAATACCTTGGCTCAGCTCGCGATTACCAACCACGCGATCGCTGACTACCAGAATCAACTTCGTCTACTGCAGGCTCAGAATCTAAGGCGTTTAGCCGCCGCCGCCACCGCCCGGTTTAGGGCCGCCCAGGGACCCTTTCCCTTCTTCCAACTGCCGGCAGAGATCCGCAATATGGTGTATGGCGTCCTGCTCACTTCCGAAAACACGATCGTGCCGCATAACACCCTGCCCCCACCAATCTTCCATTACGATGTCCAAGATGCCCGTAGAGCTGCTGGTCCGCTCTATGATCCGCTCCCCACCCTGTTGCGCGTATCTCGGGAGTTCTCTCGTGAGGCTGCGATGGTTTTCTACACCACCAACACCTTTTATTTGGATCTGACGCATCACAGACTTTGGCTGGTCAGGATCGGCAGGCCCAACTCGTTCATCATCAGACACTTGAAGATCAAGTGTTTTCAAGGAAACGAACGGAAACCTGGATTACAAAGCTCGTGAACATGGGAAACACGATCACCAAGCGGTGCCGGGGGTTGACAGAGCTGGATTTACAGTTTAGGCGCCTGTGGATCGAAACAGAAGATGGCGTCGAAGAACTGCCCGCACGACAATGTCTCCAATTGTTTGTTGAAAACGAGGCCATTAGGGCGGCTTGGAGAACAAACAGGTTGACAAGGCTCAAAAGGGTAACCATTCTTATCCGCGAGGAGTGCGAGCATACCGAATACCTGGTCGGACTTCTGAAGCAGTTGGCGGGCAACGTGAAGAAAGGGGTTGTCGTCGAGGCTAGGCATGTCGCCACGGTAAACAGATACAGGTTACCAGGTGCGTCGCCAACCGAGAATCAATTCACACTTGTAGACCAGGAGCGGAAGTTCTTCGATGGGAGGTATGACAGGGAAACAAGAACTGTGGTGACGCAGGTGTTCCCATGGGAGATACCAGTGGGTTGGCCCACCATCTATCGCCGCGTTCATGAATAGAATTTTGTTGGGACTTTGGGGCAATGGGTCTATGGGCTAGGGAACTTCTCCCGCAAGCGCCAGCTTGGGGTTTGGATGGCCAGCGGAATCTGAAAAGCAGGCAAATAGGGAAGACTGGGTGCCATGATCACGCCAGCACCGTAAATCAAATAAGAACAAAAAATACTCTCAGCGACTGGCGGTTGTTGAAGCTTTGTTCACGGAGATCCAATGTGGTTGTCTGTTCCAAGGGAAATGAGATACTTGTTCCTGGACCAAGCCCTCGATGATGAAGATCTGACTGTTGATGTGTGGCTTTTGGTGATGTCCTTCGGCACACTTCAATGCGATGTGTCAACACCCCAGTGTGAGTCAAACCAAGGCAAAGAAGTAGAATGAGGAAAGAAAGAAAGAAATAATACCTACGGGAGGCCCGGGCCAACTTGGGACAAAGGAAAACAAAACATGAAGGACAGGGAAGTTCGGTTTTCTAAAGACAAGATCTCAAGAAACGTTCCATAGAGTGGCGGTCGTGACCGTTCTCTAGCCCTTTATCTCCATATATGTGAGATTTGAGCACTCCAACTTTGGGTCTTGTGAACCACAGTTGTTAAACTGACGAGACTGGGGATGAGAAATGCGGAAGATCGACGTAGAAGTGAGTTGAGGACGAGGGACAACTCGAGAGAGATTGGCCGTACCTGGTGAGTGCCGCCATGTGTACATGTAAGTAACGGCAACACCGACACGAACCGGCCGAGCGAAACGCCCACCGAGAGGTTGACCCATGGCGGAAGAAAGGGTGGGAGACGAAGGTACGGGACTGGTGAGAGGAGCAAGACTTGGGGCCGAGGGATGAGAATAGGCCGGGCTAGGATCAAAGCAAAGAAACCAGAGGGGACTCGGACAGAAAGATGGCGAGGCCAAAGAAAAAACTTGCGGAGATTGGCTCCCTCTCATGCAATCCGGCGGGGTCATTTCGCCCGCCCTGGGTCGCGACTACCAATTTCAAAAGTTCCCAGTTTGGTGTCAAGCATTGTTAGGGGAAAGAGCAAACGGCATCGGGTCGGGTTTGGCTTCACCATTTTCGAAGCTGCCACCGTGATCTAACTTGAAGGTGGAATTGGATTGGCAACAAGCTGAAGCATGAACTCGAGACCGTTGGTTCCCGGATATCAGATTTTGACCTACGTACTCAGCCATTGCAGGGAAATTTCAACACTTGCTACAAACTTGGAATTATCTCAAGACTGTTTCCCCTTTGAGCTTCGGCTATCTTATATTAACGTCCCTGGACCCGCTAGTTCACCTTGTTTGCGAGCGAGCGTTCCTCAGGAACCATGATAATCAGCTGGATGTTGATAAGCTGTCCAAACCAACACCACAAGGCCCTCTCTCTTCCCAGTCTTATATAGTACTCTGCCAGCCTCTTTATGTCTCATACACCACCGCGTTCAAATCCATGGTTTCTCCCTCTCGGTATTCCGGCACCCAAATCGTTGGAAAATCAACTTTACCAACGTCCTACATCTACGACATCACCTACATCAAAGACCGTTCCAGGAAATAACATGCCGTCCGACACGACCGTGGGTTCACTGTCCTCTAACAGCAGAGGTGTTCAGCGCATACACCCAGCCGCCAGAATGACGGGAGAGTTCTGGTGCATCTTCGATGTTGCGAAGAATATACCCCAAGCCTGCTGGATTTTCCTAGAGGTACATTTATAAGGGTGCTATCCACACCCCAAATACTTCTCGCTCGGTATCACCCCGGACGACAACTGCGCACTTTTCCTTCTGGCCAACCTTGCGGCTGGTACTACCGAGAAGATCCTGCTGGACGCTCTGGGAATACATGCCCTTATTGGCCGTGTCTACGCAACCTCCATTGCCTTTGCGGAGGAAAGGATCATTGAGTGGGTGTTTGGTTCATTCCGCGCCCAGGCGGCAACCGCTAGAATGGCCTTGAGAAGCGAGTAATGATAAAACCCAATCCCAGTTATATTTTCAACTTTCTGCGCCTCTGCTCCTCTTGTGAACGTGTATTGTGTCAGAGACTTCCCGAATGGAGACCAGAATTTTCAGGAGGAAGTGCAGGACTTGTGGGGTATGGGAAGAAGGGTACAGGTGCAGATAGTAGCTAGACGACAGCGGTGATGTTGATGGTTTTGGGCCAGATATAGCATGTAGGTAGAGGGTTGAGATAGATAACTTCTTGGAGACATGTACTTGGAACCAAATATTACCGGCTGTCGTATGAGTGAAGACCGTTGTTCTGCAAACGAAGCAATACGGAGACGCAGAGAGCCAGGATGTGAAAGGGAGATCGAGCATCATCCGTAATATTGACCGTAGTCCACTTGAACTTGTTCACTCCTATAACAAGCGGTTGTCCGCTTTCTTACGTTCCCAACTTGAGAAACCCGAAGAAGAACAACAACAAAGAAACTGTGTATCCATGTTTTCGCTGAATTTGCTTCTATCTCTATACGGTCTTCGTCTGAGTCGTCTCTATTTTGTCCGCGGTGATCCACGAGTCACACCCGCTTGAAATCACGCTCACCACCTGCTGCCTCATAATTGTTGCATTCAATCCTCCTAATATGTCCTTCCTTTCCCCACGCTAAACCCCCAGGGCGAGAGTACCGTTCCCAGATAAACGCAAAGCGCCAGTTCTCTCAGCGAGCATCTCCCCCGCGGCGATCGTAACGTATGTCACAGAACCTCCAGATGAGGATTCCGCAAGCAACAACATCTCGAAGCACGGTTTCGGGGATGTCCAAGGGCAAGTAAGAGTCCATCATCATAGCGCTCAAAACTCCTGTCCACGGCCGGATATGCGAGTCAGGTGGCTGTGTCACATAAGAAACCTTGCCCTGTAGGTGATAGGCAGCGACAACCTCGGCTGACTTGGTGTTATAAACGCGGATGCGTTCGCGAATGGCATCCTCGTTGTCATCGGACCGGTTTCGCTGGCGGCATCGATCTATGAGAGTCGCCTCGGGTATATCGAGGATGATGACTCCACTGAGAGGACCGACGGTCCGCTCAAAGTATTGGGCCGATGCAAGAGCACGGGGAAATCCTGGTTTGAGAAGGGGTCAGTACGGCCACAATACGTGTTGTCCTGTGCGAGAACGGCATACGTACCGTCGAGAAGATAGGTGTGTATAGGCCCGCTTGCGGCTTTGATCGTTGTGCGCATGTGGTCCTTGATAAGACCGACTGTCATCTCCGGATCGCCGATTGCGCCTTTTGCAAGATTGGCTTTGAGAACTTCGGCATACGGGCTATCAGGCCGCTTTGCCTCGCTACGTAAGATATCTCCAATGGCAATGTGCATAACGCCGCCATCCAGCTTGGCCCATGATGCGCAGATGGTGGATTTTCCCGAGCCTGGTCCGCCGAGAACAGCATAGAACCTGGGTTTATGACGAGGATTTGTGGTTGTTGTAAGAGTGGGTTTTGCGGCCACTTCAGATTCGATAAGTTGTAACATTTTAAACGCTCCCTCTCGTTCTTGGACAGACATGCTCCGTAAGGACGGGTCATCGGTGCTCTCCATGAGCATATCGGCGTGGGCTGCGAGTGTTTTTTTGGTGTTTTCCCACGTTGCTGTCTGAGCCTCGATGACCTTGTCATAGAGTAACTGCATCAGTGTAGTACGGGAGGATGCAACTTCTGCCGCTTTTGATCCCTTTACTTGCAAGTGTACCTCGAGTGCATCTTTGAACGATGTAATTCTCTGCTGTTGCGGGGGCGACACCGACCTTGACTTCTCCTCCTCCAAATCCTTGATGCGCTGTTGAATGGCAATACCTATTTCAGGTTGCAACCCTTTCGACTTGCGCCCCTGTTCCGTTCCTTCTTCTTCTTCTGTGGATGTCCTCTCAACAATCTGCTCGTCGGAGTCGCGGGAATTTAGAGACTGGGGCACAGGTCGTGATGTTGGCTGCAGGGGTGACAGGGTACGCGCGGGCGTCGTTACCTGGTTCGGTTCTTTCATGAAGAGTGGTTTCATGAAGTCTTCTGGCACCAAATCCTCGGGAGGTGGAAGTTCGCGCCCCATCCTCCGAAGTCTCTCGCGCAATCTGCGAACGTGCTCATTCTCGATGATTTGGTGTGGCCGATTGGGCTCCGACATGGCGGCGACTTGGGGTATTCTCGTGGTGCGGCTGAACTGGGATGGCAACTAAATCGTTGGAGGATGATGAGGATTAGCACTGCCGTTGCCTGGAATGGCCAAACGCTGATGGAGATGCCCTCGATCTAAGGATGGTGCGCTTACATAGCAGTGGAAGAAGCAAGAGGAGAGCGAGTGTCTAGTGGATTGCTCCCAGTTGGCGGGTTAGATCGCGAAGGTCCGCGAAAATGGATGATGCCCTGGAGGGGAACGACGAGAGGGGAGGACGGGAACAAGAACTGAGACCAGCGCAAAAATTACAGTCAGTTGGAAACTTGTCCTCGGGCAGGACTGCAACGGGAGTGGATGGTCCACTCAGAGACCCGGGCGGGGCAACCAAACAGAGAGTTCTGGATCGGATGGCAGGTGGCACCGAGGGAAACATTTGGTGAAGGATTCGATCGACATATCGCTCCTTCTTCAATTCGAAATCCTTGGCACGGATATGTGAATATCGTCGGGTGGTCGGTTCTCTCCTTCTCCCACTTGATCCCTCCTGCCTTGAACACAGATAGAGTTTCTCTCAGAGGTTGATCAAGGAAAAAACATCCATCCTGTTGACCAATCCCTCAGTCCCGTCAGTACCTTTAGGTAAGGTAGTCTCATCCACGCCATCTCCATCCTCGAGTCACCGCCCCTCCTCCGGCTTCCTCCCATAAACCACCTTCACCGTATAATAACTCAAACTCCTCACATCCCTAATCGCTCTCCTCATCCTATTCACCAACTCGCTCACCTCCTCCCTGCTCCATCCCAGCACCTGACCCATGGGATACACCGCAAACCCGTCCAGACTCTGATCGATATAGTGCCAATTCAACAAACCAACCTGCTTCAGTTTCCTATCCTTTGCCCACGCTCCAATCGGTACTCTGTAGCTCTTGTGCACCACCTCTGTGAACCCCTGCTCTTTCATCAACTTTTTCATCGTTCCATCCCTCCCAATCCGCATGGTACGACCCGTCTTGTCCCCAACAGCCCAGAAGAGTCGACACCACGTTTTGAAGACGTGGTCCTGATCATTCTGGACCTTTGGGTTCTCAGATAAGGTCTCGATGTCGAATTCGACGTGTTGGAACCAGCCGCCTGGTTTCAAGTGCGTGTAGGCCTGCCGGTAGAGCTTGGCCCAGTCATTGATGCCGCCGTAGAGAAAGCGGCAGTGGATGAAGTCGAAGTGGTTGGGTTGAAACGTCCAGTCGAGCTGGGCGTCATCGATCTGGAAGGACACGTTGGGCGGCGCGAAGGTGGGTTGTACGGCGGAGATGTCGGTGCCGATTACGGAGGCGGAGGGGGACTCGGTGGCTATGTCGATGGCCCAGTTGCCGGTGCCAGTGCCGATGTCGAGGATGGTTTGGGGGTTGGAGATGGGTGCGAGGTAGAGTTTGTTGGAGAAGAGGATGAGCATGTATTCGTGGCTGGCACATGTTAGTTTGTGGAAGTGGAAGATGTGGAGTGGAGAAACGCACGCTAGGTCGTAGCCTTGGAGGTGCTGTTCGTCTACGGGGAAGATGTACTCTGTTGTCTTGGATGCTTGATATAGACGGCCATGGACGTCGCGGTAGTCGTAGATGCTGGCGGTGACAGATTGTGTGGAACCGTAGAGAGTCTCGGCATCTCTGATGGACTCATTGTCGTCCACGTTGAGATCGCCAACCACATCGTGGTCCTTTTAGGAACGGCATGGTTAATACCTTTGACCGTCTCGAGGGACACGCGAGCCGATGAAACTTACGACCTGGATGGGTTCTGCTGCTGCTGCTGCTGCTGCCATCCTGAACTTGTTCTTGGTGTTGTAGATGCTCTTTTTTGAGGACTTCTTCAGTTGGTTCTGGCCAGAATGCGCGTAGGCAATTGTTCAAGTCCTAGCCGGAAAGCCGATATCAAAATCGCATAACAGACGACGAAAAGAAAGAAGAAAGCAAGATCAACCCAGAATTCCCCGGACCACAGTTCTTTATCTTAATCGGATGTTCCATATCATCATGCATCCTCAATCCTCTCCGTCTGCCGTGCCACGCTTTCGCGTCCTTACATAGTACAACGGTTCAGTACGACGCTTTCATGCACGATCCCAGCAAGGGAAGAGTTCGGAATGTATCCTCATCGTTCCCGACTGCCGCTTCCGGAAGTCGAGGCGCTTCAGGTGTCACCGTACCCAAATCTTCCTTGGTCTCCCGCCCTGCTAGCGCTGAAGCAGTGAAGCGGAGAATTACTCCAAAGCAGTGCATCTAGCCAACGTGGATGCTGTGAGCCCGGGCGGTACATAGCATTGAAGCTTGCTAGAATAAAATAGGTTAACGAAGCGACTTGGTTGATCAATTTCGTGGAGGTTTGTGGGAGATGGATAACTTGATGCTCTTTTTTTGTGAAGGGCGATCCGGGGTCTTGAGGTTTCGATTCCCGTTTCATGACTGGGGAGGGTGGTTGAAATGGGGTCTCCTTCCGGAAACAAGTTGCTTCGGGAAGTGGAAACAGTTTCAAATCTCGGCGTCGTCTTCGTCAATCTAGAGCTTCTTGGTCTTGCCCCGTCTCCAGGTAGAAAAAGAAACATGAGCCGCACCCAAAAGGTGTCGAGCTGCTGCTCGTCGTGCTCCCCAGCGCGGAGGGGTTTAGTCCGGGCTCACGATCAAAGAGGTTGTGTTTACTTCTGTGGGCCGATAGAAGTTAAAGCAAAAGACATATCTCGAAATCATCTTGAAACGGATTGAGCAAAGACATAAATCATAATCCACAGATATAATGGGAGATAATCCTTCGGGAATCACAATCCTTCAGTGCTGGAACTTGTCGGATGCAACTTCTTCGTTTTGATCACAGCGTGCAGAATGCATGGGCTCGGAATAACTGACGTATCTAGGCTGTGATTGGTCAGAAGCTATTTTGTGCAGCGAGTACCGGTGGGGACCAACGTTTTTGTGCAAAGTGTGCAGAGACGACACATCAAGGACCTCCAACGAACTCCCTTTGCTGCTTTCGGGCCATATCATCGGCTTACATGAAAATAGGGTTATACACGTCTTCCTCCACAACGACCGAATACGTGAACTGCCCCAACCTCACACTCGCGGCCCTTTCTCCCTCGGCAACCAATAATCAGGCCCATACCCATTCCCCTCCTTCATCCCCCTCCGCCAAACCAACAACTCCTTATTCCTCTCGCTCATTTCCACCTCATCCCGAACCTCCCTGTCCGCCTTGGATTTCTCCTTTTTCCAAGCCTCCACCCACTTCTCAATCCTCCTATCCCAAATATCCACCACGCCATACCTCCTGCCAAAAGTCGCGTACGCCAACGCCTCGCTGGCCGCCGCCGTAGCCACACACGGCAGAGTTATACGCGAAAGCATCATCATCACTTGCACTCCCCACGACACTCCATACCGATAGAAGACGAGAATGACCGCGATCGTTAGAGGTACGCTTCCGACGTATGACAGGGGCAACTCCACAGCGTCGAACCAAAAGACAAATGCTCCCTCTCCGCGCCCACAATAATAGTCTGCAATGGGGCAGAGCAACCCCGAGATAACCACCAAAAAGAGCAGCCGCATTGCCTCCCGGCGTTGGGTCACGCGGTAATCATCAGGCGGCAGGACATGCTCCGAAGCAAGGAGCTTGTTTTTGAGAAAGGAAGGCCAGGCGAGGGGAAGATCAAAAGCCCAGGGATCGGGCCCCTTGAAGTCAAGGTAGGGGGAGGCACGCATTATTACAAGGATAAACATAAGGGATATGAGTGCCTGCTCCCCAATTGTATTCCGGCGTTGGTCTGGTGAGGTCAGATGTTCGTCGGGCGTACAAGTGTTGGGAAAGGCCAGTTCCGTTGGACTTGTGGGTTTCGGAGCCACATGTGATGGGAAATATATGTCGAGAAAGACTCCCGAGAAGAAGTAGAGAAAGGGTTGGATAAGGGCGATCTCGAAGTCGGAGCGGAGGCCGAAGTTGTAAGGTGAGGTTGGTTCAGGTTGTAGATGGGCCATATTTACGCCCCTTCGAGATATTGGGAGTTGCGCAGAGCTTTTGGCTTTGGGGGTAAATTGCGTGTCGATGAAAACCTCCAAGGACTGAATCATGCGATTGTCTGGTAGTATCAAGCAGCAGAGAAAAGAAGGGGGAAAGGAGGTGTACGATCTGGGTGAAGAAACCGGGGAAGTCTTCGAAGTCGGAGAAATTTATGGACGCCGGGTTGCAAACGACGAGTGGCGCAGGGCGGCCGGCAAGACGGTTAGCCTCGCGCATGGAGACCTGAAGTGGGCTTTGGGCATTAAGGGCTCGGCGGTTAGATGCAGACGATGCGGCTGGGTTGATCCAATATGTGGAGGTTTTGGGAGATGGATAACATGATGATCTTTCCGCAAACGTACCGCATTCAACTGGGTTTTATCCCCCCCTGTCCTAGCCAATTATGTGGTTTGCTGAGTTCTGCATGCCCCGTTGAGGCGCGCCGTGAAAGTCTCTCTCCAGGTGTGATTGGCTAGTATAGTGTGGGGGATAAAACCCAGTTGAATGAGATAAAGCGGTAGTTTGTTGTGTTCAAGTGTCGATTTCTATCTGGTGTTTAACGTGGGAAAGTGCGATGGCGTCTTGTTTTGAAACAACTTGGGGTCGTTTCGGAAATCGAAAAAATTTCGTCATCTTCGTCAGTTATGAGCCTCACACCCCAGCCCGCGGCTCTGGCGGCTCTGGCTGACCGAGATCGTGCGTGAAATCCATTTCGAGTAGCTGATCCTCGGATTGTTTCACGGGTGATACGGGAATGTATATATATATATATATATATATATTTTTTTTTTTTTCAAAATTTTTTTTTTTTTTCATTCATGGTTCGCTTGCAACACAAGCGAAGAATGACAGGTATTTTGAGATGATCGCTAGAGAAGGCAAGATATTGAAGGACCAAGTCACAAGAAAATGAGAAGAATGACGCCGCATTGTTTAGTCCGCAAAGTGTCAGCATCCACGATGCAAGGGCTCGGAATAAGTGATGTATGAGGGCCGTGATTGGCCAGAATCTTATGCATGCACAAGATATGGTCATTGTGCAAGAAGGTCAGTGTTCAATTTTGAATGGAACCAGATTATGATCCCCGAAGGGGTAAACAGGGTGCTTAGATGCTTTGTTCAAGTAATGGGATAGTTGTTTATGTACAGAGCACAGGCGTGAAGAGGTGTGTTGTGAGTGTCGCGTGCCAAACACCGACACACCAAAAGATTGACATTCCAGTGGTTATAAGCGGGGAGCCATTTCTCCTCCAGTCAAGTCCGCAACACGGAGAGGAGGACTTGAACACACCCAAGTACACATGCTAATATATGTCAGGCAAGAAAGCCTCATTTTGCGTACATTGTTTGAGTTTTGATGATTCGCCCCGGAGAACGGATGTACAAGTTACCGTCTCCTGGCTCGATGATATTCATCTCAGCCATCCACTTTGCCTCTGCCACTGCATTCTCCATCTGGTGTGCCTTTATCCATTTCTCAATCCACCTATCCCAAAAACCCACCGCCCTATCGTCTTCCGTCCCCTTAAAGATGATGCCCATTAAGAGGTCACTGGTCAATCCAGTAAGGACACAAGGAAGCGTCCCGTATCTGAAGACCAGATAGATGATGAAAAGCGGCAATATATTATTCTCTCCACGTGTTTGGTTGTAAAATCGTTCCGCAACCCCTTCCTTGGCGCATAGAAGATACTCCGCGATCGGACACAAACAGCCCGAGATCATAACCCGAAAAAGTAATATGGTCGCCTCACGACGTTGGCTAATGCGGTAATCGTTGTGTGAAGGGACCATATGGGGGATCAAAGCGTCCCATTCGCGATCAGTGGGATCATTGGAGTCAGCAGTGAAGAGTTTGAACTGCTCCAGAAAGTATGCACACCTCCCTTTATCGGAACTCCTGTTCAGTTTGGTCTCGGAGTAGCGGGCGGCCAGGCAGAGCAAGATGGTAAAGAAGCACGCCAGTAAAGATTGTCCGGCTTGAATGATACGGCGACGGTCGTTGTAGATGGAAATTTCTTCAGGCTCGGTCAGACTGCAGGTGTTGGGAGAGACAGGTCCGAGCAGGTTGGATTTGCTGCCAGGGAGAGGGGCGAAGGGTTGGGGTGGAAAGAACATTCCTTCAAGAGTTTTGGAAAGGAAATAGAAGAGGGGTGGGATGAAGTTGAGAGACAGCGTGTTGAGGCCGAAGCTGAGAGGTGCAGGTGATATGCCAGTCGTCTTCGGGAAAGGAGGAGCCATATTGATGTCGTGATACTGGAAGTTCCGCTCTATGCAATGAGGGATTGCAAAATCGTTCGCGGGTCGAGGGAGGAATGAAATCCTCGGGTGTCGCAAACTTTAGAGCACCACAGAAAAGAGAAAGGGAAAGATATCGCTCGACCTGGGAAAATAACAGCAATAACCGTTCAAATTCAAGAAATTTTTGGGACGCCTGGTTGCAAACGACGGGTGGCGCATGGCGGCCGGCAAGACGGTCGGCCTCACGCAGGAATACCTGAAGTTGGCCTTGGGCATCAAGGGCTCGGCGGTTAGATGCAAATGACACGTACCAAGAGCAGATCAAGCAAAAGGAACCAATCCAATTCGTCAAAAAGATGCGTGGGTATATTGCCTTGGAAGAGAAAGGAAACGCGAAAACAAACTGAACCATCCAAACCCGTGTTCGCTGACATGCAAAGAAACAAACTCTATCGTCTTTTTGTTTTCCAAACCCTGACTTAGACAGCACTCCGTTCTTGCATCTCCTGTGTGTCTGTCCCTGCATTCGACAATGACGGCTCGGAATTTGCTCGCCACTCTGCCTTTTCTCGTCGTAGATCTCGTCTGACCCAGATGACGGTGATGACGGTCCATATCGCGGAGAAGATAAGGGGGCTCGCCCAAGCTGTTGACACCAAACGTTAGCATCCCAATTATTATCGATAATTCGACCGGGGACGGGGACAGAACATACCAACACCATACGCAATCTCCTGCGGTATCGTCCAAATGACAATCATCGTAGCCACCCCATCCACCAGCGCTCCCACTCCCCAAAACCAATTCTGCCTCGCCACCATCTCCCTAAACCTCTTGCTGACTTCATACCTGGCGTTGATTGCCCTCCTATACTCCTTCCCGCCGGCACCATCAACAGCAACAATATCCTCCACAATAGTCAACACCAACGGCGGCACCCTCCCTCCCTTGGGGACCGAACTAATCCTACACGGCGCCTTCTTGTGTTTCCTATTCGCCCATCCAGTCCACAACAATTGCAGGCCCATCTGGATAAAAAACAGCGGAACCGGCATCGCCAGCGGTTTTACTATCGGCTCGTGGGGGATCGAGGCGCCGATCAAGATGCCCGTCATGTACGTGTACCCGAACGATAGCGTCATGTGGGTGAAGTCGAATTTCCAGCGGTCTTTGACGGGATCGGTGCCGAGCGGGCGGTATTCGTCGCGCGAGAGGATGAGCTTTAATGAGCGAAGACCGAATTCGATGCCGGTGACTAGACCGAAGAAGGCGGTGATGATGGCGAAGACGATTCCGTGGCGGAGGTCGGTGCCGTACCATAGGCCGTAGAAGAGGGCGATGGGGAGGAGGGAAGACTCGATGACGAGCAGGGAGGAGACGACGATGAGCTTCCATTTGTAGTCCATCATGTTGTACTTTAGGCGGGGGAGGCCCGGGGTATCGTCTAAGGTCGGGACGGTGTCGAGGGGGATGTTGTCGACGCCAACGGGCATGTTGACAGCTGTCGCGGAGGAGGCGGAGGAATGGGGTTGCGTGTGCCCCGGGGGGGCAAGACCGTTTGTGTGACCATGATGGTGTCTGCGGCCGTGACGACCGTGTCGCGTTGTTGTTTCGAGTGTTTCTCCCTCCAGTTGCTGTGACGATGGAGAGGCACTGGGCATATCCTCCTTCCTTTCGACCTCGTAGGACGATGCTTTGTCGGCCATCGGAGGTTCTGGGTGTTGGTCGGTCGGATATGTCGAGTGCGTTTGTTGTTGGAGGGTAGGTGTAGGTAGGTAGGTATGTACAGGTAGGTTGGTTGATCGGCGTGGATAGATGAAAAGACTAAATGGAAGAAAAGAGGAAAGAGATCAATCGATCGCCGTAGTAGTTGAGTAAAGTAGGAAAAGGAGAAACAAAAGAGGGCATCAGCATGATTGCATTCTGTCTCTGCTGATGTCCAGAACAAGAAGACAAGGCCTAGGTGTGGCTTGATAGGTAGGTATGCCGAGAACTTCAATGCTGCCCTCCATGCATCCCGTATCCAAGCAATGATAAACAAGACGATGCCGGGATGTGGCAGTGACGAAAAGAGAAAGCAAGACGTGGGATTTCTGCCCGCCATGACGTTACGCCGCTCGTGATTGGTCACAGTCCGGCCTGGGCTTGCGTCAGACGCTATGATGTCATCGGTTTTTGATATTGACATTCCAGAACGCTGTGCCGTCCCACCGCTTCAACCTCTTAGGGCGCTAAAAGACCCCCTGTTGCCCCCTGAACCACCCCGCTCCAGGTCCCTTTATGCAGCCATCACCCCACCATTCCCGGCAGGTGGCGAGCCCTAACAGCGGAGGCTCTTCCTGCAAAAGTTCTTAACAACATTCCCCTACAAAACCAGATATTTCTGTTAGTTACGACCGGGATGAGCATCACGATCAATAGCGTACTGACTCGATACGTTCCGCGACATCTCAACGACATGTCTTTTCGCATCAACACATCAGGGGACACTCCTCCATTTGAGGGCATCTTTCGCTCTGAAAACAATGCGGACTGTACTGTGCAGCGTCTCGTTATCAATGGGATTATTCTGCGCGATTTCAAAAGACGAACAGTTCAATTCATGAACCACGGATATCTGGACTTCTTTGACAACGAAATCGCCATCTTCACCTTGTTTGCTCGGGGTTGTCCTCGACCTCACGTTACACGCCAACTGATGATCACCGCCTTGGCCCGAAATAATCCTGGGCACACGCCATATATTACGCTGATCAGTCGAAGCATCCAAAGGTCTCGACTCATGCTCTGTTGTCGACCAAATTCTTCATGTGGTGGCCTGAAGATCGTGAACCCTAACCCGACATGCTGCCGTCGCTCCTGCCATGGCGGATGCCTGCTACTTCACTAAGCAATTTCGCAAAATCAGCAAGCGCGGCAGATTTTCGAAACGGAAAGCTTTTCGGTGCCGAGCAACTCTGCCCGTCCGTCAACTTGTGCAGCCGGCTCCCCTCTCTTCTTCCCTCTTCAGTTGCTCACCGATTTCATTTTCCATCGTCGCTCGTCTCCAATTCGCCCTCTTCTGTCATGATACCTTTATTAAAACAACCATTTCGCTCTTTTTCTTGTTGATTTGAGTTGGCCTTCCCGTAGCCTTCCGCTCGTCCATCCCGCCGCGTCTACCTAACCTTTCCCTCGCAAAGTGTTAATCGTGGTCACGAAATAGGCATGTGAGTCGGCACTTCGTTCCGCCAGAAAAAGAAGTGAGGGCACAACTGTGATATGAATAACTCCCAGTCAGTATGTTACGCTACAATCAAACGTGTTTGGGCGATACAAGATGACGAGAGCCACGCAGGGTAAACATCGCAACAACTCACAAGATGTCATACCAGGCACAGGCGTGGATGTAACGGACAGCAAAGCGCAGCGCGGTAGTACCCTTGCTACCCGAAAGTACCCAGCACAATGTATTCCACGTAGGGCTGAGGTGTTCTTTCTCCCAGAAAGGTGTCTTTGCTCAAAATTGCCTGGTAAGACTCAGCTATGATACGTTTCCAGTGTTAATGATTATTTGGCGGTATCTGGATATAAAAGGCAAGTGATCCCCGGTTTTAAGCTACCATTCATCATCATCATTGATGCAGTCATCCTTTCTTCAGTTACAGACAGAAGAGTTACGAATTCTCCCGAGAAGATTGTGAGGAACCACTCTAAACTCTGAGCCGCCATGTCCTAACCTATCTCCAGTCCTATAGCCTACCTCTAGGCACATCAGCAATCATGCATTTGGCCATTCTCCAGTTCTTCATGATTCTGATCCCGCTTCCCCTGGTGACGGCCCGCGCCCTCTCAACCCTCGCTACCCCGATAACTCCCTCGGGAACTCCGCAAGCATCCAACAACAAGGAGTCAACACAAAGCACAGCCTGCGCGCCAGCTCTGGCCCTATCCCAATGGGCAAGATCTGGTGTCCCTTGGCATCTGACCAATTGATTTCATCATAGGCTGTGAACGAGACAGAACGGGCTTACGACCTCCTTTCCGCGTCGGCAATGCTGGGAATTTGGTGTCAATATAACAGTTTTACTTCTATTTTGGGGCTAAGGGACGCTTGGAATGACAGTTCAAAACTGTACTCCACTTCCCAAAATCTCGAGCACTTATCCCTCCTGCCGCGCTCCAAAGCCTCCTGGACCTTTGGCAGCGTCAAAGCTTACGTGTGCAATTACTCCGAGGGGGTGCCGACAACGTGTGATATCACCGAGCTGGAGGCTGCCAAAGAGATAATCCAGGTTGCTTGCGGTAGTAAGCTCAACGTCAATGGAGATCCTGTACCTAAGGGCGGACTGGAGAGGTACAGCGCGTACAGCGCGGTTGGTGGGGTGTGGAAGAGCTGGGATGAAGAGAAAGAGTACGGGTTCATGGATGCTAGTGACGATAGGGAGTGGTGTGAGGGTATTGTGGGCGGCCAGGTTCTACCTATCAGTGGGAACTGAACTCTGGGATGGTCTGTTATCGACAGATTGAAACAGATGGATGATGAACTGGCAAAAAAAGGCAATGGGAAATTGAGGCAGAAAAAAGAAAAAGACAAGCTGGCTGGCCAGATTGATACCCAGGGGAACCACCCCACCGAGTATCAATCACCCCAGAGACTCACAGCTGTTCACTACGGTGGCGCAGGAAGACGGATGTGGGCGGCCGGAGCCCCCGTGTACTCTAGAGAATCTAGAAGTACTGTGCCTGAGCCAATGTCTAGTGAAAACAGCCGCCACCATGGGAATCGAACCCATGGCCTTGCGAGTGGTGGTGGGGAAGCGGTGTGCAACCCCAAGTCCACTCGGCCAACCAACGTTGCAAACGGAGGCTGGGGCGACGGGTTATAAGGTCCCCTGGGGTACGAAGGGGGCGCTGGTGTTGGTGCCGTGGGCGGAAGGGGCAGGCACGGCAGGCAAGGCTTGGCACGGTGCTGAGATGGGATGACGGCCTGGGGACCGGAAGTGATCTGTCGTGGAAGTAAACACTCGTTCACGATTATTCAGGCCAGAAGTTCGTTCCTTGTTTCACTATCATGTTCTGTATCCTTCTTAGTTGTCTTTCCCAAGTCGACATGTCTTCAACACGGCTGGGGCATAGTAAAGTCACCATTGTTGTTCGCGGCAGTTTGCCTGTTCCTGAGACCTCATCTCCTTTGTTCTTTGTCCAATTTGTTTCGCCTAGCAACACTGTTCATCGAGACAAGGCCATTGTGTCGACATAACAGCTCGATCCATCGGACACCACCATCAACATAATGCCATTATGTCGAAACAACACCCAACTCCTCCGAATATCCGCGAGCATTCCGACCTCGCGAAAAGATATAAATGCAGAAGACATGCCGGACCAAACATGAAGTTTCCATCTCTCCCATCCGGATCAGACTCACACTCACACCCACAGGCATACCGATCAAGACATCCACTTAAACTTACGAACAATAGGTACTCAGTGCTCAGTCACCGAGTATCACCATACATCACCCACAACCAAAATGTGCTTCCAAATCCCCCTCACTCCCGCCATCTGCCGCACCTGCGGCTCCGCCAAGCCGATCCCAGACGAACAGACTCTCTGCGCCACGGCTCAAGAGCTGGGCATTGAGTTTGAAGACGATTATGTCAACAAGTGCCCTAATGGGGTGAGGACCATCACGGTCCAGCAGAAGGCGGATAAGGAGCTTGAGAGGGGGGTGAAGTGTTTGGTTTGTGGTAAGCATTGAATCACCCCATAGTCCTCTCGCGCTCTTGGAGTGGCACTTTGATTGTCGCGCTAGCCGCCAAGACGCTTTTTTCCATGGCAAGTACTAGGTTTTATGATCACGCTCGCTAACAAAGGGAGGGGGATGTAGTTTTTATCGAAGGAATTTGAGAAAGTGAATAGTGACTCAATATTTTGAATATCAGAAATCTTGTTGGAAAGTAATTCAGCCTTGTTGTTCGTGACATTTCCTGCTCGTTTTGTGATTGTGGCTGTCAAGGCTTGAGTGAAGTACTGCCGAGAGAGGGTGGTGACGTTCGGGGTAGTCACGTGGGTCGGCACGATAAGATACGGGGGTACGTACCGTGAGCGGTGCTTGCCCCACTATTTCGTTGGCCCCGCGTCAATTCGTACCTTCCATTTCAACTTCGTCAAGTCGTACCTTTTCCTTCAACTTCACTTTAACCTCAGTTGACGTTCCTTCCATTTGAGAAATCGACAGTCGCATTTCGTCTCGCTTCTCCAGGTTTCCTTCCTTCCTTCAACCCAATCTCATTTTCACCTCATCACCAAAGTTTTCTTCTCCTTCATCACGATACCCCTCTTTCACGTCAATCTCGTCGTCCTTCATCAGCCTCTCTCTCTTTGATACAACTTCATCTGTCGCCTGCAGCCATCCAACTTTACGACGCGTCGACCTTGATCGCGTATTCCCAGACTTCTTCAAGAGCATTCCACTATTTGATCTTGCAAGCTGAGATTCAAACATTCTCTCCCTTCTCCTCTTCTTCCGCCATTTCACCCCGCTCTTCTTTATTCTCAATCTTTCATCACCAAGTCTTTACCGCAGAGATCGTTTTACTCAGCCTCCGTTTACGATACTCAGCTTGAAATCGTCTGCCGTCACGTTCGGCCATCTGACTTGACGACGCGTCAACCTCCACTTTCACTACTTTCTCCTCACTTCGACATCATCGACCATACATCCTTTTTTCATGCTAGAAAGGCAAGCAACGCAACATCACGAAAATCAGGCTGGGTTGGGCATATATATAACCACACAACTCGTCAGTCATCTCGCCATACCTCACCGTACCTCCTCACAATTCACCCCGCCTCGAGCACTCAACGAAAATGCCGGTCATCTCGTTGCATAATGTCCCGTTGGACATCCTCCTCATCATCCTGGGAAACGTTGATCCCATCTCATTGATCAACCTGGCCCAGACCTGCCAGGCTCTTCGAGCTACTATTCACCCAACACGCGCCAACCTCCTCCAGCGCCTGCTCGCCCTTGAGCTGATTCCCGAACACGGCGGCATCGTACCGCTCATCAGAAGCAGGGATAATCAGATCACCCCTCCCATTGGCTCCAAGGACTGGCAAGCCAACAAGTACGCTTGCGGAGGCTGCCTCAAGCTCTTGCCGCACACCATGTTTGACAACCACAACATCCTGCGGCTCGACCTTCGCAAGCCCCCTCCCGGCAGCAGGGAGGCTAACCGCCTTGCCGAATGGTGGTATCTCAACGGACGGGATGACCACGTGAGAGCCCGGATCATCCAACACCGAGTGCATACCCGTGCCCGACATGAGCTTGAGTCACTTGCCGATGTCCGGAGGCGGCATTATGAGGCCACCCACGCAGAGGAAGACATGCCCCATAACGGTGTCAACCAGTTCCTTTGGTTCGCGGACGAAGAGGCTGACACCCTAGCTGCGAACGACCGCATTGCGTCTGACGCCGAACTCCTAATTTGCGGCCTCCGCCGGCACAACCGTCGTTGCAATGAATGCCGCTTTCTCCGGGGCGACTGGCGTCATCTTAACCCGGCCAACAACCCCGTGCAGGGCTTCTCCCCTTTACCAGTGGCCACGGGGCGGAAGTTGCCTTTCTACAATCTTTTTGACAGGTGCTTCCCCACCTTGTTTCACCCTGTCCCTCTCGCCGAAACGGGCCGCCGCTTCACCCAATTCGGCAACCAGCGAAATAAGGCGTACACATGGATGATGTGCACCATTCGCTGCGGCGGTTGCGCCAAGTGGCAAGATGCGTCACAGTTTCGTTTGCCAATCGCGGCGTACAAGACGGAAGATTTGCTGGTGAGGGAGATAGACCAGTATTTGGTGCGAGATGCCGAGTTGGGAGAGCTGAGGGAGCCCAGATGCAATCGGTGCTTTTTGAGGGAGCACGGCATGGCCGCGTTCAGACGGCATCTGACAGCCTTCGCGAGGTCGCTGATGTCGGATGCCCTCGACAGGGCTCAGTTCCAAGTCCTCTTCGGGTGGGGCAAGCTCCGCGAAGACTTCCGTCTTCCTGGAGGAGACTTCGCAAACTGGGCCGAGTACGGCAGGCCGATTGTCTCGGACTTCCCCATCCAAGAAGACGACCTCCTCATCGTGCCACCCCTCACCACACAGCAACTCGATGACCTCTTCCGGCGGTACACCTGCTTCACCATCTTTGTCGAGCACATGTACCAAGGCTTGCGACCCGTGCGCCAGACCATCTTGGACAGTCGCTCCAACGAAGAGGTCATGAGCTACGTGATGAGCTCGTGGTTCCGTATTTGGTACGATGATTATTATCTCTACGAAAGGACGTATCGGAGGCTGGATGATCGGTTCAGGTGGATTCACCAGCATGAGCAGGAGATGGTATCGTATGCGTTGGGGGTTGATCCGTTGGTGCCGGAGAGGTATGATTTTGAGTTGGAGGTGGAGGAGGGAGAGATTGTTGAATGATGAGGGTTTGTGTGATGGTACCTAGTGGTACGGTCAGTCCGTGAAGGGGTTCTCTGTCATCTGTCTTCCCGTGGAGACTGGTGTCTGGTCACTTTAATCTTTTTCGCTAGCTTTTACCGACTTGCTAGCTGTTTTCTTTGTTTGCTTTCTCTCTTTTCTCGGTTCCGTTTCTCTTCGTTTGCAGGTAGTACGACAGTTAGTACCTGCCGTCTTATCGATCATCGGAATTCCCAATATTGGGACAATGTGCTTGCAAGGCAAGCCATCATCATGGAGCGCGGTGGAAGTGGTTTCTACTTATCTCTGGGGGCGCCTGCCTCTGTTGTTAGAGTACTAGGTACTTTAATCTGTACAACCACCATCTCATCGCAGACTTCAGTTCATCTCATAATGATCTCACTGTCTTATCCCATCGTGAAAGCAAACGCAATACTTTGAGTCCAATGCTCCGAACCCGAACAAGGCCTTCCGAAACTCCCGAAAGGCCACAGAGACACATTGAAATGCCAAAGCATTGAGCAAGAACACATAATTTAGATGTGCTTCGACATGTAGAAATCAAGGTGAAGCGTTTGGTACAGAGTTTAAGGCATAAACTTGGGTCGAGAAGGCCTGGGACACATGACGAGCCGTGTCAACCGCGGTGAACACACATGAAAGGTGGGTAATGTATTAGTTGAGTGTATTCAAGGTGCGCGCCTCTCCCCTTTCCTTTTCCCTTCCCCTTCTTAGCTGCCCCTCTGCCTACCAAATCGTCCAAATCACCACTTCTTGTCCGTCTTAATCTTAACCGGCAGATGCAATAACCTCAACCCACTCTCATTCTCCCCCGGCAGCTTACCCGCCCGAATGTTTACCTGCAAACTCTGATGCAACAACCTCGGCGCCGCCAGGTTCCGATCCCTCTCCTGTCTGGCTTTCACAAACTCTTCTTCCGTGATTCCATCCCTCAAGTGCTTATTCCTCTCCCTGTGCTCCTTAACCGTCAAACACGGAACCGGCTCCTTCCTGTCCTCAGGCGGGTAATCATGTCCCGTCCAAATCTGGGCTTCATCCGGCAAGCTCTGAAGCAATTTCCGACCGGAGTGGTACAAATCATGAGCACTCCCACCGGGGAAATCACACCTCGCAGTCCCTATGTCCGCGTTAAACAGGCTGTCGCCACAGAAAACGTTATCCCCGATCTTGTACCCCAGATGATCGGGCGTGTGCCCCGGAAGATGAATCGCTTTCGCTTCCAAGTTGCCAATCCGGAACACCTCGTCGTCGTCGAACAGATAACCAAACACCTCCTTGACTTCCTCCTCCGGCACCCCGTACCTCTTTGAAAACAAACTCTGCACAGTCCCGATCCGTTTGCCGATGCCAATAGGCGGTTTGTGCTCCTCCCCTTGAATCTCCGTCAACCGTTTCTGCAAGTAGGAAGAAGCAGATAAGTGATCGGCGTGGGCGTGCGTTTCGAGAATCCAAGCGATTTTGTAACTCTTGGATTGGATGAGAGAGAGTAAAGCGTCGGCGGAGGTGGTGGTGATGGAGTTGTCGGTTAGTGAGTAGTCGAGGACGGGGTCGATGATGGCGGCGACGAGGGTGAGAGGGTCGGCGACGAGGGTGAGAGGGTCGGCGACGAGGTATTGGAATGTGCAGGTTACGGGTTCGAAGATGGGGGTTATTGTTGGTTCAGGCGGTGGGGGTGAAGAGGAGGGCGAGGTGGTGTATGTTCGGCTGTTAAGGGGTGATGAGGCTTGCAAGGGGTTTATGCGATGGAGATGTGTATGTTGTCGTTGTGGTGAGCGAGGGGGATGGGATTGGTGGATTGATCTCCTTTGGTTGGGTGATGTCGTTGAAGAGGTTGAGATGTGAGATTTTGTGGTGGCGATCGTTGATGCACTCCTTGGAATCGATGTTGCGAGACGTCGGATGTGGTAGAGACATGGAGCGCAGGTGCTGCTTGTCAAGAGACCGGTTGTCGTCTGGCAGATCTCAGCGAGATAGGGTTGTAAAGATGTCATGGTGAGATTTGTGATGGTTGCTGATGTGTGTGAAAATCGGTGTTTATTACTGGATCAAGAACGGTTGCAAAATATCAGCTCAAACACCACGGATCTCACGGACAGATATATCACACACATCGCGACCGAGTCCCGGGGCCGGGCCGCGTCCATGTCTCGGGGATGAACGTCGCCGAGTTATCAATCATGGATGGTCGCCGACATGTTCGGGGTCAAGGAACACATGTGACTTGGAATGGCCTCAAACCCGCTCAGTCAGCTGCACAGACATACGACCGAGTCTGGAACTTTCACGGCCTCCTCCCGTTCTGTTCCGGGACGATATTCAGGATGAGCATGTTTTCCATCATCCAAGACCATCCAAGATCCAAGATGAGATGAGAAGTGGCATGATGTTTCTGGAAGATGGCCCGTGCTCCCACACCTAATCGCCGACAACCGGCCCCGGATCCGTCAAATAAGCCCCACTCGGCGGCTATCGGGCATGATTCGGGATGCTGACTCAGGAAGATGAGAAGTCGACGATGAGGTGATCGCTTCGGATTTGAGACTTGTTACAAGTTCAACACATCTTGTCTTGTCTTTTTTCTTGAGTCCACTCACTCACTGACTGTCGTATCACGACACTCGTTTTCACCCAAACACCAACACACACACACACACACACAATAACATCAGCTCATCTCCGATAGCGGATATAGCTTCAAGATGAGCAGCTCACTCATCACCAAGACGGCCCTCACGGCAGCCACCCGCGCTGCCCCCCGTGCGGCTGCGGCCCTCGCCGTCCCTCTTCTTCGCCGTGGCTTCGCTTCCGTCTCCGCCGCTCCCGTCACCGGCACCTCCCGCTCGCACCGCATCGTCGTAGTAGGCGGCGGTGCCGCCGGCCTCTCCATCTCTCACCAGCTCCTGCGCACCGGCAAGTTCTCGCCCGAGGAGATCGCCGTGATCGACCCAGCTCAGTACCACCACTACCAGCCCGGCTGGACGCTCGTCGGCGGCGGGCTCAAGGACGCCCTCTCTTTGCGCCGCGATGAGGCTTCCCTCATCGACCCCAAGCTCAAGTTCTACAACCAGGCTGTTTCGCAGCTCTCCCCCGAGACGGACTCCGTGACCCTGGCCAACGGCGACAAGATCGGTTACGAGCACTTGATCGTCGTTCCCGGCATCGAGATCACCTACGACAAGATCAAGGGCCTGCCTGAAGCGCTCGCTGACCCCAGCGCGCCCGTGTCGACTATCTACGGCGCCCATACAGTGAGCAAGGTCTTCCCCACCATCGAAAAGCTCAAGCGCGGCCAGGCCATCTTCACGCAGCCCGCTGGCGTGATCAAGTGCGCTGGCGCCCCGCAGAAGGTGATGTGGATGGCTCTGGACCACTGGAAGCGTGCGGGGCTTTATAACCCTTCCGCTCCCGAGTCCGGCGCGATCCAGATCGCTTTTGCGACTGCTTTGCCGGCTATGTTTGGCGTGCCCAAGTACTCTGCGCGGCTGGAGGAGCTGCGCAAGGAGCGCGGAGTGGAGGGTCTGTTTGCGCATGATCTTGTGGAGGTCAACGGCAACAAGGCGGTGTTCGCCAAGGGCGCGGAGAAGATCACCAGGGAATTTGATTTGTTGCACGTCGTCCCCAAGATGGGCCCCTACAGCTTTGTCAAGAACAGCGCGGTGGCTGATGCCGCTGGGTTCGTCGATGTGAACCAGGCTACGACGCAGAGCACCAAGTTCAAGAATGTCTGGTCGGCCGGCGACGCTTCGAGCTTGCCTACTTCCAAGACTGCGGCGGCTATTACTTCGCAGGCGCCCGTTCTTGTGGGCAACTTGCTGAGGAGCTTGGAGGGCAAGGAGCCGGCGCTGGAGTATGATGGGTATACTTCGTGCCCGCTGGTGACGGAGTATGGCAAGGTCATGTTGGCTGAGTTCAAGTATGCGGGTGTGCCGAAGGAGACGTTTGGTGGACTGCCGGTGGTGGGTGGCGCCTTGGATCAGGGAACACCCAGACGGGCGTTTTATCACCTGAAGAAGGATTTCTTCCCTTGGGTGTATTTCAATGCCATGGTCAAGGGCACTTGGGCCGGTCCTAACGGGTGGAAGTTCTAGATGTCCGGATTGGAAAAGGAGTTGGGATAGATGAATGGGCTCGGAAAAGCGATAGATAAGTACAGTAATGATACCTCTTGTTTTGTTGTTTACCTTGGGTGTTTCCATACAAGGCTGTGGTGTTTGTGTTTGAAGATCAGCCTCGATGGGACGGGACGGGAGGCTGCGGGATGCACGTCATCCTTACAGCGTAACACCGCCTGTAATACAGCGCTTTAGCCGAAGTCAGCACAAAGGCCCAGACAGACGCTCTCCCGTCTCCAACTTCCTGTTCAACCACCACGACGATGTGGCCATTCGCGCCGTCCTACCCCACAGTCCACGCGGCCGATATCCACGACCAAACCTTTGACTACATTATTGTCGGCGGTTAGTCCCCAACCCCCCATTCGTGCAGGTCAGCCCCCAGCTAACTGGTTCCCCCTTGCAGGCGGCACAGCAGGCTGCGTCCTAGCCTCGCGCCTCTCTGAATCTCCCAACGTCTCCGTCCTCCTCCTCGAAAAAGGCCGAGTACACGACAACTTCCTCTCTCGCATACCCCTTCTCTCGCAGAACTTCGAATTCCCGTTCCTCCAGTCTGTCCGTCGCGACTCCGACCCGATCCCCGCTGCCAATGGCAGACGAGCAGCACTCTGGACCGCTGAGGCCTTGGGCGGGGCGACACGAATCAATGCTTTGTTATGGACAAGAGGGGTAGCGGGCGGGTATAACGCTTGGGCAGAGGAGTATGGACTAGAGCACTGGAGCTGGGATATGGTCGATCCGTGGTTTAGGAAGACCGAGGATGTGGTCAAGACTAGGAAGCCGGGGTTCGAGCTAGGGTGTATACCGTTTGTGGAGAAGGCGGCAAGGAGGGTTGGGTTACCTGTGGGGGAGGGGGTGAATGATGCAGGTGCAAGCGCACAAGGATGCTTTGTGATGGATCAGACTGTTGATGGGAAGGGTCAGAGAGTGTCGGCGTATAAGGCTTGGTTGCCGAGGGAGACGGCGAGGGAGAGGAAGGGGTTGAAGATCTGTACCGGAGTGGTAGCTTCGACCCTTTTCTTCAGCAAGGATGGGACACGGGTGACGGGTGTGAGGGTTCGAGAAGGTGGCCGCGAGTACACGGTCAAAGCCCGAAGGGAGGTCATTGTCTGCAGTGGGACCATCTGTACGCCCCAGCTCCTGATGCTGAGTGGCATCGGACCTCGCCACCATCTCGAGTCCCTCGAGATCCCAGTCATCCATGACCTCCCAGCAGTAGGACAGGGTCTCTCCGACCATACATCAATCCCCATCATCATGGAGCTCCCACGCAAACATACCCTCCACTGCCTAGAAAGCGCCTTCGTCTTCCTCTGGCACCTCCTCCTCTACCTCTTCTTCGGCAAAGGCCTACTCGTCAATGGAACCACCCCCCGCAGCATCTTTGTACACACCGCAGCTCTCGACGAGAATACAATGACCGTTCGACACAACGACGACTCAGACCAAGACACCATGGACGCTTCTCTTCCTCAGAATATCCCGGACGTCGAGATCATGATCAACCCCGTCAACTGCCTGACCGTGAACATCTCCGGCAAGTCACTTTTCACGTGGTACACGACGCTCATCCAACCGTATTCCAGGGGGCATGTCAAGCTTGCGTCTTCTGATGACCCGTTGGCTGATCCGAAGATCTGTTACCCGATGATGAGCGATGACAGAGATCGAGTGACGATGAGGAAGGCGGTGCGGTTCACTATGCGATTGGCGGAGGAGTTTACGAACACGGGGTATCCGTATGAGGCACCACTGATGATTGCGCCGGGAATGGATTTGGTGTATTTGGACGCTCTTTACGAGCCCAAGACGGGATTGTTGCAGAGGCTCCAGAGGAGGAAGAAGCCAGCAGATGAGGAACCCGTCCCTGTGCCTGGTAAAGAAGACCTCTTGACTGGAGCCGGACAACCATCTGTTTCCACGTCCACCAACAGCGAACCCAACAAGCAGCACTTTCAAAAATCGAATTGGCGCACAATCATGGACAACGAGATAGACGCCTACGCCTCCCGCGTCTGCGTCTCCAGCCTCCACATTTCCTGCACCTGCCGGATGTCAAGAAACCCAAGAGAAGGCGTGGTTGACCAGAAGCTCAAGGTCCATGGCGTTGAGAACTTGAGAATCGCAGATGCCAGCGTGTTTCCCAAGATCCCGAGTGCGCATACGATGGGACCGGTGGTCATGGTTGCGGAACGATGCGCTGAGTTTGTTAAGGAAGAATGGCAGGACAAGAAGGGGCGATAGGGTTGGGGAGCACGGTTTGACAGTCTGAGTTGATGTTCTATGTTACAAGCTTACTACTACGTTGTGTTTCTCTACATCCTGCTTCACCTTCACTTCTTTTTCCCCTTCCCACCAGGACACTCTTCTTTCTTGTGCCTCCGTGCATCAGCCCTTTGGCAACCCCTGGAACAGTACTTCATTCCACCGCAAACGGGACAAGTATGATCCAACTCCCCTCCATCCTTTCTCTTTTCTCTTTTACAATTCCTGCACACAACTTTAGGAGGAGGAGGCGGCGGCGGCGGAGCCTGATTATTCACAATGGGTTTATCCTCCGGGACATATGGTTCCTCGACAAATGGACATCCAAACGGAGGGGAGATAGCCACACTCACCAAATGTTTCTTGATCTTCTCCCACACCCTTGGCGGGATCCTATCATTGTCCGGGAGTCGTCCGTTGCCACAGCTGCAAAGAACCGAGGACTCATCGTCATCAATATCCATTGGGGTGACCACTCCCATTGCACTGGCGCGGTGGAGGTACTCGCACCTTTCGGGGTCATGCTCCCAGGTTCGGCAACGCTCGACGTAAGCTGGGAGGATCTCCTTCCAGAGCTGGAGGCCGTCAGGTGTAGTGTCGAGATAATCAAGGGATGTGTCCAGCTCAGTATCAGTATCGTTCAACGCCTTCTCCAATCCGTCCATCAATCCACCCGTCTCCGCCGTCCTCACGAGAACCGCTCCATCAAGCACCACGCACCGATTCGCCACGTCTAACCTCAAACACGACACGAAGAAGACCATCTCCACCCTCTCTTGACGTTCCAGACGAACAGCAAAAACATTCTGCCTCCTCCCGGACCCCGCAAACTCCCAAATCATGTACCTCACGATCTTCTTCCAATGCAAACAGGACAGCTCTCCAGGGCTCAGCATGTCATCTAGCAGGGATGGCGGTTGGTTCTCCATCATTTGATGCTCCCAATCGGCAAAGGTGTACGTTTGGAAGTTGAGCCAAAGGGTAAAGCGGGGCCATGAGGGTAGAGAGGAGCGAATCTTCTCAATGTCGATGACTGGGAGGTCGTCGAAGCAGGGGAGGTAGGGGAGGGACCATGAGATTGGCATAGGCGAGGAAGAATAAGAGGGGAGGAGGACGGGGTAGATCCACGATGGGGAAGAGATGGTTGCCCGGAAAACCTCTGGGCGGATGGTGGCGACGGTCAGCTCGATGAAGTTGTTGTCAGGACTTGCAGGGCCGGTAATAAGTTGTGCTTTGGTTACATCTGAGAGAAGGGGGAAGGAGAAGGGGAATGCTGATTCCCATGTGCATACTTCGGGTTCGTCTTCGGGTACAGGGAGTGATGCTTTCATGGGCTTCATGTCACAGCGGCTCGCGGTAAAGCTGCCGCTGAGAGTGATGAGGTATGTACATGGTGATACCTGGCGGCAGTGGGCGGTGTAACCGCTTGCGAGACGGGAGTTCAGTTCGGGGGATGTGAACTGGAGGCGTGCGGTGAGGGAGGTGATTTCGTATCGTGTGCCGTTCATGCCAGCTGCGATGGTGGCGCTAGCCGGCAGATCCGGGGGAGGTAAGGTCCTGGGAAACTCATGCACAGTCGGTGTGCCACCAAGCTGAGGCGGGTATCGGGTGATGATGACCTGATCATAGTTGTGGAGGGGCGTTTCGTATATGGTCAGTCCGGGTCCAAGATCATCTCCATAATCGCCGACATTGGGGGTCCGTCGGAACTGGACCTTCACCATCGACGTCTCAGGATGTCCTGTCAGAAGCACCGACGTCGGGACCATAAAGGACACCATCAAATGGTATTTCCCTTCCAAGCTCGGGGGACGCATGGTAATTTTGAGGATCGACCCGGGGCCTCTTATGTGAGTATTCTCGTGCTGCGGCCATCCATAACCGATTTGTACCGACGCGAACCCGTGGCAACTTTTGTCGTTGCCCGGCTTGGAAATGGCACACTCAACAAAACTCGGCCTTCCAACCCCCAAATTGTCCCTCTCCAACCTGCCCACCACAGGTGACTTATGCTGAGGCACCACCACCGTCACGCACATCACCGGCGGAATGTTCACCCACGTCTTCAACTGCCAAATCCTCTCGTTCTTCGGTACTGAGTTCCTGGCGTTGTAGGACCCCGGCCATTCAGGCGATGTATACACTCTCAACAGGTGCAGCCAGGCCCTCAACTCCGGAGTGTAATCAGCGACCGGCTCACTGTCTCCATGTGGTTGCCTTCTCGGTTCCTGCTCAATTAGGGCGAGAATCGCCTCAATGGTCGCGGTCCAGTCGCCAACTTGCACTCTACTCCTGATCAATTTGAGGAAGGCAGCAAAGCTAGCTGGGGTGTAGAGCTTGTGGTTAGATCTTCGTTCGTGGGCGCCGCCGTCGCCTGCAAGGGTCATGTTGGTCATCATGGCGGCGATGATGTCGTCTTGACAGTCGTCCCAGAACATTTTCTTGTATATCTGGTGAACCAGGCCGACGAGGTCCTTATCGTTGAATTTGATGGGGTACACCGGCAGAGACATAGATTCGGGAGATGGTGGTGGGTTGAAAGCGCACGCCTAATGCGCTATGGGCCGCTTCCATCTCAGCCGTTCGTATGGCTGGTACAACTTTGGAGGCACGTCTCTGGGCTTAGCAGATCCGTTTTTCATCATTTGGTAGGTCATGGCATCCTGGGATGGGTAAGGGGAGGTGTTGGTGGAATGTTCTACGCAGAACAGACCGAGGAGGAGGGCGACGGTGGAGAGGGGGCCGCAAAGGAGGTTGTCGGCTTCTTCTTTGTAAGTGCGGTGGTAGCGGGTGAGTATCTCGGTGTAGAGCGTGGCGGCTAGGTTGTTTTCGAGCACCGGGGAGGTGGCTACTAGCACGTTGAGTGCGCCGAGGTCATCGATGAGGTTGGAGGTGTCGATAACCATAAAGGATAACGGGGCAGGGGTAGAGCTGTCGGGCTGGTAATCCTCCCCATCAAGCTTCAAGGGCCTAAAGCTATGCCGGCTGCGATACCAGTGGGGGGTTCGTATTGAGCCACTCGCAAGACCTTGCAAAGTATGCCCAAAAGCGACCGCATCACCGACAAACCACCTCGTCACCACGCTCCCCTCCGCCCATGCGTCCTTGAAACTCTGGCACCAAGCAGCAAACTTCCCCATAACAAGCGCCACAACCTTCTGCCGTGAACTCACATCGTCCGCCCCCCAGCCCTCCGGCTCGTCCACCATTCTCGTATACGCCTCCGCCAACGGAAACCCAAGAAGCGGATCCAACCCCCAGTGCATCCTCACATGCCCATCCGGCGTGACAAACATCGGGTTAACCTGCGTGCTCTCTTTGGTGAGCGACATGGAAATAAGCCCCACCCTCCAAAACCATTGATGGAGATCGTTCAGATGGTGCATATCATCATCCACTGCCGGCGCAGCTGATCTTACTGCTGTGTAGACAAGACCACGGCCAGTGCTATCCACTCTCTCATCGGTTTTCACATCTCTGGTAGCAGCCAGGTCCGCTTCGAACTTGGCTTTGAGGTCAGTAATCGTAGGCTCGTTTCCGTCGAATTGAGCCCAGCATTGCCAGATTTCGCGGACGCGGGAGAGGGAGTACGAGTCACAGAAGCGGATGCCTCCGCGGCCGTATGTGCTTTTGTGCCAGGCTTGGAGGGAGTCGGAAACGTCGACCAGTTTGCGGGCTTGTGAGACGATGAGGTTGGCGAGGCGGGGTGGGAGGTAGAGGTGGTAGTAGATGGGGAAGAGGTCGTGTAGGGAGGGAGGGAGGGGGGGTTGGGAGTCCATGTCGATGAGGAGGGTTAGGAGGAGGATGTTGCGGGCTGTGTGGTGGGAAACGAAGGTCAGTCAAAGCTTCTTTTTTATCATTTACGGATGTGAGAGGTGAGTACGCACCTATGATGCTTCGCTCGTTGTCACAGCAGGTTATGTCTAGTTGACGACCTTCTATTACTCAGTTAGCAACGTCCTGCAACAGATGGACGGCTAGACTGACTTACCATCATGGTTGATCGTGAAGAGAATCTTGCGAAGATCTCCACACCCAAGAAGCAAGATGCTGATTGGGTCTTCCTGATCGTAGCCACTGTCGTTGTCTTCTTGGTTCTTTTCTTTCTCCTCTCCCTCTCTTTTTTCCCCTTCTTTCTCCTCTCCTTCCTTCTCCTCTCCTTCCTTCTCTTCTCCTTCTTTCTCCTTTCCTTCTTTCTGCTCGTCGTTTTTATCGCGGGTGCGAGCGGGAACACGATATGAAGAGGGAATGTCCTGCGTCAAGCACACGGCTGGCGTGTCGCCCATGGGGTAGCTGTAGCGCAGGACGCCGGTGCCCACTGGCGTCAACATGGTTGATGTTGTTGCCGTGTGACGGTGTGATGTGAATTTGTTGGGGGATCTGATACAGGTCACAAGTTGCTGTTGGGTTATCGGCTTCGAGGACGGCTTGCTTGGAAGATGCTGTGAGTTTTCGGAGTGTCCGCAGTGGATCGACTGTCTGAATACGAGCAGTTGGAGAGCAGGATGATGAGGGTTTTAAGTTCTGTCTGTGGTGCTTCTTCAGGCATCTGATCAGTTCTGGATTCTACCATTGGAAGCACAGGTGATGTCCTTCGTATTTCCTCTGTCTTCCGCCTTTCCGCCCCTTGTCTTTCTTATTGTCGCCCGGTAAGCATTGTCACGAACCGGGCTTATGGTAACCGTCGCTGGATTCAGCAAGGGATCATGTTAAAAAGAGGCAGCTTCTTGGGACCAGAACAATCTTCGAGTGTGGATTGTTTGTTTGGATAGAGGAAGATGGAAGCTTCGCAGGCATTCATCGGAGCTACTATAGGTGGTATGTCCTGTGCTCACTTGTACTTTTGGGATCCAAACGCACTCCGTGTCGAGTTGTTTGATGATGATTTAGACGGGTAACTGATGCAAGCACATCACCAAAGGAAGTCTATGTGAGGATTTTCTTGTATGGGTACTCTCCCTATTCGGCTGGTGGTAGTCTTCATGCTGACAACCTCTTTCCTCAGCCACTTGGCCCTTCATTCACATGAATTACGTACATCGTATTCGCAAGGTAACGAAAGAAGTCTTGAAGAACTCAGATGTCTAACGCGTCCAGCCATGGCCGGCACGATGAAAGCCATCTCCCGTGACTCCTTGTCTAACCCGCTCGCAACCGATCACATTAGGACCTCACTAAAGGAACCAAGCCGGGACTGCCGACGGTGAAAGGGCCGGTGGGACTTTGAACAGATCGCTCACCTTCAGCAAGAATGTTCGTGTGGTGGAAAGTGGATAAAAAGCCAGGAGTCATCATCAAGCTGGTCAGACAAAGCTCGTGAGTGATGCACCCGACAAGGAACTTGCATTTAAACTGAAGAGGAAGAAATGTGTAGGTAGACGAACCTTTGCGTATCACCACAGGGAGGGGTGTCGAAAACCTAGTCGATGATAACTGCTGCGCCGACACGAACCGTTTATGTTTCCAATCCACGAGATTGGTATGTTGACATGACCGAATTGTCTTGTAGAAGCCAGAAGTTGTGTTTCCGAGCACCTTGACAACAATGCCCAAGATTACAGCAACTGCCTTTTGCTTCCAGACAGCTTTACAACCAGCATAACCCGTGACCCCTCATCTTGTTACCTGGCCAACATCATTCAGCCTTCCCAGGCCGCAGCCCTACGTAATTTCCATCTGATCTTTCAGGGGTGCCCGTCCTTCACTTCTTGTCGATTCTTGCATTCACTCGGCTTTCTCCCATTCACCTGATCTCTTCCCAGTGACAGGCCACCCCCACTTCTAGCGCGTACAAAGCCATCGATCTCAGATCGCTTCTTCAAATTTCTCTCCTCCTCTTCCCAAACTAACCTCACACAATTTTCCATCCACAACACGGGCGTATCATCCCGCAAACATCCATCCAAGATGCTGACACCAGGCTGCCCGAACGTCACCCGCACGTTCTACCCCTTCGGCGACACCCCCGCGGTTTGCCTGACGGAGAACATCCCGCCGGACAAAAAGGGCGAAGAGGGGCCAGTCAACATCCTGCTTCTCGGGTCCGGCGACATTCGAAATGTGCTCTTCACAGCGCACATGGACAAAACGCGCCAGTTGGATATCACTTGTTGTGATGTCGATCGGTTGGTGATCGGTATGTTCCCTCCCCTCTCCTGTTCTCACCCCTCCACATCTTCAAGAGCTAGACTAACCACTTGATGTTGTTTCACAGCGCGCAACATCCTCCTCCTCACCCTGCTCATCGACCCTGACTTCGACCTCGACCCCTCCTCCCCTTACTCCCCAAGCTTACCTCACCCCCCGCCCACGTCTGATGACCTCTTCGCCATTTACTACCACCAACACCTTAGCGAAAACCTCAGCTCTCTCGTCCGTTCGCAAGCCATGAGGCTGCGCCTTGTTGGCTCAACGATGTCAACATGGAACGCAAGTCCTTACGGTCGGGGCCGGGGCTTCCAACCCTATCCTTCCATGTCATCGAAGAGCGACAACAGCGGCAAGAAGGGAAAGAGAAAAGGAAAGGGAAAACAGAAGGGCAAAGAGCCTGAGGCACAGGAAGATTACACACCCAAACAGCCCAACCCCATCGGAGATGTCAATCCACGCAACCCCACAAGCGGCATCCGCTTCACGGACTCAGGCACTCTAAAGCTGCTCACACAAATCTGGGACGCCTGGTTCTGTCGTCCCGAATCCGCCCAGCAAGAGGCTTTGTCAGATGGCCTTTTCAAGCGCGTCGGCGCCGCTGTGCTTAAAAGGGAGGAGGAAGAAGTGGGAGTCGCGTACGCCGCTACGAGAGCGGCGGCGTGCTCGTTCAGGGCTGCGATGCCGGTAGGCTTGGAGGCGACTCTTCATGCGACGATGTCAAATGAACATTTCTGGAGGTTGGGGGTGACGACAGGTTCGGAGGAGTGGAGGGATGAGGATGAGGATACAGACGAGAGCACGGATACGGATTCTGATTTGGAGGACAACATAAAGCAGGGAAAGGGGAAAGAAAAGGAGAAAGTGCCCTCGCAAGAATCCTGGAAACAGGCTGAGGAAAGACGAAAAAAGACGGCAAAGAGAAGGGTGGACACGATCCAACGCCGAGAGGTGATCAACCCCCTCTTCACCACTCCCTCCCCTGGCGTCCTCATCGACCATTCTTCCGACCCTCTCCAAGGATTCCACCTCGCACCGGCCTACCTTCCCATTGTCGGTCAGCCACCCCCAAAGCAAGGAACCTCGCAACTGGAACGACTCGTCGACGTCGCCAAGCAAGAGTTCGCCGACTGGTGCGACTCCTTTCGCCGTGCTTGGCGCGAAGGCCGCATCACCCTCCGTTTCTTCGTCGGTGATGCGCTCGCTTTTGCGCACACCCTTCAGCACCACAAGGCAGTTGCCCTTGGAAATCCCATGGATCCGGCTTTTGGCAATTGGTATCGCTTCCGGGATTCGTTTGATCCTCTGATCCTCGACAGCGACGATTACAGGCCAGTGCCGAGCGAGTCGCATAGGTGTCAAGCGCCTGTGTCGTTTCACGTCATTGACACGTCCTCTCTGGCCGACGATCTCGGGGCGCTGAACGTGCTCATCGCGACCTCTCCCCTCCTCGAAAACCGGCTGGCCTCCACGCTGTACACCGAGCACACACTTCCCCTGCCTCGGTCCTCGACCAGCAACGATGCGAGGCTGGGACCGAAAACCCCACAGGAGGTAGCAAACACTCTTCTCCATGGCGATCTTCTCACAATGTCCCTCCTCCTTGGTCTCTCACCAGTAGACTACTACACCAACACTTATCCCTCTGCTCCGCCACCCACTTTCTCTTCCCCTCATTCTACCCCTCCCCCAGCACCACCCACTCTCCTAACACCGAGTCCTCCCCCTCCTCCCCCTTCTGGTGCCTCCCCCGCGCCCTCCCCAACTCCAATCCCCACTCCAGCCACAGTTGCACAGTATTTCAACCAGCGCCTAACGTGGAAGCGCCCCGTCTACCACCAGCCCACCGACGGCAGCGGCAGGGACTGGACCATCAGCAACAGCAACAACACCTGGCCGGGCCCAACCCCCTCTCTGCGTGAGGCGCAGGAAGAATTTGCGAGGGAGACCGAGAACTTTGAGAAGTCGACAAGGGAGATCTATCAGCATTTGATGGATCTGGAGGCAGAGGAGTGGGAAGAAGAAGAACAGAGGGAACAAGGAAAAGGAAAAGCGAAGGGGAAGAAGAAATCTCAGAAGAAGACCACCGCCAAGGCAAAGATCCCAGAGCCACTCCGCAACATGCCGCCGGAAGTACGGGAGGAATTGCTCGAAGCCAGGGAGTTTCAGAAAGCAGCACTCAAAGAACTGGAGCTCAAGATTCAGGGCGAAATCCGCAACCAGAGGCAGAGGTGGGAAAAGGAGCGGACGGAGATGCCACTGCGCAAGATCCGGTTCCAAGCTGAAGAGCTTGTGGAGTTTTTGATGAAAGTTTACTCAAGGATGTATGAGTCAAGGTACTTGTTTGAGCGGAAGAACGATGGCGATGGCAATGGCGCTGGTGATCCAGGTGCTGAAGGAAATGCTCACAAACGTGGAGTGGGCTTCAGGCTGTTGAGTTCGAGGACATGTAATCGGGCGACTTTTGCGTCGCTTTTGAAGATCATTCAGGACCGAGTGGTAATCATCGGCGAGCCACTGCCAAACTCTGATCCGTCTGAGACTGAGTCCATGGGGCCGATGGATTTCTCGGTTCTGGACGAAATCTGGAAGACGTCGTCCGAGCCCGACACAGATTCGGTCAATGCCGAGATCAGCGAAATCCTCGCAGCGACCATTGAAGCCTGTCGTTCTTCTCCCGATCCATCCACTTCCACCAACTCGGTGCCAGCAACCGCAGACGGCGACGACGGCCATGACGACAGCGCCGCAACTTCCAACTCCGACCGCGACGCCAACTTCAATCCCGATGGATCAGACCCCTACGAGCCTCCCTCCTCCCCCATTCCCACCCTTGTTCCCTACTACCACTTCTCAGACTTATCCGATAGCGACTCGGATTCGTCTTCCCCATCCACCATCATCGCCCCCTCAGCCGTCCCTGTCTCCCCAGTTTTCTCCTCACCCTCGCGCCAGACCACCGCCTGGCACCGCACGCTGCAAGCCATGCTTGAAGAACTCAAGCACTCCCTCGTCAACTATGTCGAAACCCAAGGATCCTTCGATCAGGAGCTCTCCACCATCCTCCACCATTTTGGTGCCTACTCCTCCCCCGAGCACGCCATCACTGACCCCGACGGCCTGATCAAACCGAGAGTGTACAACCTCGCCCACGAGGCAATCCCCAGTGCAAGCAAGCACAACACATGTCTTTACAACTGGGTTAATATTCCAAGCTCTCTCGCCGTCACGGTCCGGATCCCCCGCAACACACTTGTCGCTTTGCAAACCATCATGATGAGTTTGGAGACGGGTTTGCACATCTTGGAACCCGAGACAACTGTTAGAGGAAGGGGCAGGAGAAAGATCAAGCCGGCGTACGTCCCGGCTTTGCAGGCTTGCATCCGTCCTACGCATGACCACGAAGGTAAACCTGTCGCCAACATGCCTGGCCACTTGTTTACTTCTCTGCAGACGGGGTTTGGTGAGCTCGAGATCAAAGGACGGCATTTTACGCCTCGGTTCAGGCTCAACATCGAGACAGATCCCCTTGGGTGGGAGGGGCAGAGCGATTTGTTCGTCAGCTTCATGGTTCCTACCAGCATCTTGATGAGGGACGCAGTGACGGGGTTGGTGACTGTTGAAGTTGTGCCTACGATTGGCCCAGATGTTGCGCGGCGGAACGAACTTTCTTTCCTGGCGACGGGAACTCTGAAGATGGACCTGAAGATCTTTGAGGCTAATTTGGGTTTCGATCCATCTGTGTTCATCAGTCAGTACATGCCAAACCAAAGCGGAGTGACGAGGATGTGCGGGTTTGCGGAAACACCACAGGGCTAGGAGCCTGTGCCTTCCGCGCTCAAGACGATGATGACGGCCAAGATGGACGACAACCACCAACACATCAGTTCGATAAGCACTCGAATTACCTTCCTCACCGACCGTCTCCTGGACAGACTGGCAAACAGGGAATGCAAAGTCCGCTCGGTGGCGGTCACCCCTTGCTCTTACCACCTCATCATCTCCAAAGACCCCACCGCTTCTTTCTTCTCCCACGGCCCCAAGTCCTCCCACTTGTGTCCTTTGAAATTCCTCATCGACGTTCCGCTTCCCACCAACCATGAAATGCGACGAACCCGCCCTTGTCGGTCCAAAGGCTTCATCGACCTAGTAACTCCGGTCGACCCCTTCGCTTGGAGGACCTTCTTTACCCCATCCTTCCTTCATCCCGTCCACTTGGAGCCAGGCACTCAAACCCCAATGAACTGGTCCCTCCCATATTTACATTCCTCCTATTTATCTTCTTTGTCATCCCCCTCGTCGTCTTCTGGTAATCCTCTCGACACCCTCCCCCGACTCTCTCAATCCGGCTCTCTCATCGGCTGCCTCCCGGACCCTCACCTCCGCAGCACTGACCGCTTCTGCCTCTGGTGGTTGCAGCTGCAAACCTACCAGCACCAGTTATCCATACGCGAAGCCTCAATTCATTCGCAACTCTCTCAGCACGCTGACCCAGTCCCGAAAAGCGCTTCTCCCGAGGACGAGGACAAGCAGCTCAAGGAAAAGGACAAGCAGCTTACTGATGCTCTAAATCGGTATCTGAACACAGCCGGTGAGCATTCCAGGTTCGAGTTAAGAATGTCCCTGTCCGTGCTGTTTGACGTAGCGGCCGGGATACTGAGGCCGAAGTCATTCTGGAGGCACATGGATTTAAGTCTCAGGCCGACGGCACGGGAGGATCAAGAGTGGAGGAGTGTGTTTGCGGTGTGCGACCTTGTTCCCAGCCGGAAGCCGCCGGACTGCACTTGCCATGATAAATGTCTTGACTGCGGCAAGGGAATGGGCAGCGGCAGCGGGAGCGGCACCGGCACCGGCACCGGCAGTTGGGTCAGCTGGGATGCTGCCACCGGTAATCAACATGAACATTCTCGCACTGGGACGAGACGAATCCTCATCTTCATTGCGAAAGACGGCATCTGTCTGGACTTGGCTCATGGGACGGTGATACTGGACACCGCTGTGCTGGTGATCACCAAGGAGTTGCGCCAGAGCTTGCCCAGATTCTTGACTGACGGGAGCATCGAGCCGCCGATGCCTATTTATTCTCAAGGGGTGATGTCCCAGACGATGAGAACATGGAAGGAGGTTTTACCTGCTTTTGCTGAGCGGTGTCGCGGCCAGACATGGGAGCATGGACCGGCTTGCGAGTACAAGGCGAAGCAGAGGGTACCGGTGGCGACCAACTTTCATAAGGATGATCCGGTGTTTTGCTCGTGTAGCATGGGTAAACTGCCTGAGAGTTGGTCAGTGCGTGAAGACTATCCAGTTCCACAATGGAAGGAGATCCGGCCGCATCTTGTTAGGGCGGCGATCAGTTTACCGTTTGGATGTCCAGGGCTTGGAGAACCGTATCAACACCCGATGAGCTGGCATCCTCTTCTCCATCCTCATACTGGTCCCGTTACAGGTGTGACTCCTGGCCTTGCCGTGGTGGAGTCGGCGGCAGGTACGGGTCCGAGTGCGGTTTCAACTTCGGCAGCAGCTCCGGCCAGAGCTCCGGTTTCGACTCCGGCTCCGGCTACAACCGGCATTAGCCAGCCTCCAGCTGCGAAAAGGATCCGAACCAACCCCACAAGGTCAGCTCCGGCCTCCGCTCCGGCTCGAACGGCGGCTCCAACTGGCACTCGCTCGACACTGTCCACGAAAGGACTCGAAATACGGCCTCCGAAACCAGCCTCGACTTCAGCTCCGGTTACGGCTTCAACTGGCACTGGCTTGACTCAAGCTCAGACTCGAGCTGAGTTGTTTCAAGCCAAGTTTCAAGCTGAGATTGCTCGAGCTCGGACTCAAGCCCAGACTCAAACTCTGGCGGCTAAAGCCGCTAGTTTGGCTCTGAATCCGAAGCGGCCTTCAACCTCAGGTCCAACTTCTGTTCAAGCCCCGCCTCCTGCTAGCACCAAGTCGGCTTCAGCTAATGCCAGATCTGTACCCGCCACGGCAACCACGACGCCCACTGTAAGGCACAGGTGCAATTTTTGCAATGAGCCAAAGAATAGAGAGAATGGAGGCGAGTTGAATCAGTGCTCCAAGTGCAAGAAAGCACGGTATTGTTCGAGGGAGTGTCAGATGGTGGATTGGAAGAGACATAAGAAGGAATGTGATGTTGGTGCTGGTGCTGGTGCTGTGAATGGCAAGGAGAAAGAGAAGGGAAATGAGAAGCAGAAGGACGAGAAGAAGGGAAAATGAAGAGTATCGCAATGTAAGATAATGTAATGTTAGTCACACTGCCTGCTTGGTACCCTAAGCAAACGGGTCCAGCGCTTGTATCTGGCATAGTCACCTTCCTCTTGAAGAGAGGGTTGGTGCTTAACTGAGCCATTACGGGACATTCATGGCCAGTTTCGGTCCTCCCCTTGGTAGTACAGCACAAAGGTCAATGAAAGTTTATTAATCAAACCCCAATGAAGAGCGTGCCCCAAAGCAACCCGTAAACAAAACCAGCAGAGATGAAGTCACTCTTCTATGTAAGAGACTCACTTGAGCCCCCAAGTTGCAAACAACCAGTCCGAGAACCCAGGCATTACTTCTACCGCAACCTCAAGGGAAATTGATGTTCAGGCCAGTGTGAAAAGGTACGCCAATGTAAAATGTGCCAAAGGGGTGTCGTAGTGCGCACCAAACACACATAACAGGCGTGGGTTGTCAGGTGGCAGAGAATAAACAGTGCTTGAAGCTGTCAACACACTTGTCAACGACAACCGAAACGAGACCAGACTGGAAACTCGGACTCAGAAGGAAGTGTGTTCTGAAACATCAAACACCATTGACAACAACGGCACGTCCTGTGAGCAGATATGTCCAACGATTGCCACGAGAAGACGAGAAAGGAAATAACCGTAACGCCGAAGCTTGCTCGCGTCCAGTCTCCAGCGGCCACTCCAGCAGTGACTGTGACCTTGGCAACGACACATGGAAACACTTTTGATCGGCAGGGCCACGCAGGGACGTGATGGATGATCGTTCTGATAGCTTCGGCGGAAGTACCCTTTTCTGGAGGAGGCGGGCATCGTGTGGACGCTGTGGGTTCGGGCTACTGTTTCGGAAGCCTTGGTTTATGGCCGGCCATGAGGTGACAATGAATGGAGAAGAGTTTCAGCCCACAAAGGTAGGGTTCACGCAGGGCGGGGATGGAGAATGATGTTGCGGATGATGGGGATTTGGATGAGGTGTTGTTGAGGTTCGAGTTGAGTGATGCGGAGAACTTAGCACTCGCGGAAGACAAGAATGAAATTGGCCCAGGCTGTAATTGAACGTGCAGATTCAGATGGATGCTTAACATAAAGTGGTGATAAACTCATTGAGAGCTGTTAGTACCTTAGCCGAACTCGCAACCAGTCTGGCATACTGACATCAACCCATGCGAGGAAGGGACCGTGCAGTCGCCATTTCCCGCGCCCGTCCATCAGTGATCCAGATCACACTCGTTTCGTGCTGTACCTGCGCGCCTTCCCGGTCCAGACACTTGGGGATCGCTTGACGCCGAACAAAAATGGAAAGTGGAATAAGGAGTTGACGAAGGCCGGTCAAGAACGGGGCAGGAACGTTGAGGCAATTTTTGGCTGGTCCTTTCAGTTTGATCGGTCCTGCCAAGTTCAGTCCCTTCTCAATCCCCTTTGCGGACCTGACTCGGAAGGACGAACTTTGCCGTCGTCCAGACTTTTGAGCTTCCACGTCTGCTTCCGCCTTCCGCCGACAGTCACAAATGCGATTCCACCTCTGCATCCGTCCCGTCACCATCAACCAACGAGTTCAACACCACGGTGACAGCGGAGTCGGTAATAAGACAAACGGAGGAGCCAAAACGGCGACTGACACGTGCAGGGAATGATCTGGCGTTTTTGTCTCGGTGATGGGATCATGATCCGACATTTTCCATGTGCCAAGGTGCTGATGGATGCTGATGGTAGGATCAAATCTTATCAGATCATCAGATATTGTCCCGCAGGGTGCTCCTGAAAAGGCTAAAGACCTGCCATTGCCGAACCATTGGACGACAGGATCCAGTCCCCCACAACGGAGTGCACCTCGGGTCGGACCAAACAACCCAGTACGGATGGAGATGAGTCAAACTTTTATCCCGCTGTGTGTGAAAATGTGGGAAGAGTGTGGGCGAGGACTGAGGAGTCGGTGGTGCTCAGGTGCTGCATTCCAATGAGGGAGTGACTGTCTCTTCAGATGCTCAGCGTGATGGACTGAGGCCCTGGAGGCGAGTAGACATTCGATACATCTACCTACTGCCAGTGATGGTATTCAGAGTGTTGCCTTGACACTGACTCAATGGTCAACTCAGCTCAATCATTCAAAGGCAGATCTTGAACGAAATCCATGGACAAATAGACCTATTTCCATACGCACATAGTCCCCCCCATATTTATCGTTGAGTTAGCCGCCCAGCCTAGCTTAGTTACGCTAATATATTACGTATAATTAAGGCTATAAAATCGATACTCGCGCATCGCTAAATCTACGTCGTTAGCGTTATTTTTTTATATAAAGTTATTTAGAATCATCAATCTAATTAATTATCTACTACTAAGACGGTTAATACTATAGTTACTAGTAATACTACTATCCCCTATATTAACTTTATTATTATATATATTATACTTGTTACTTAAAATATACGTACCTACCTTAATTTTAATACCTACTATATAAGTATTAGGGAGGCGGTTAGAGATTTGCCTTTCTATTTAAATTCCTTAATATTTACCCTCCTTCTTCCCTTCGTATAAATATTAAAAGTAGTACTATAATTATAGAGGTTTAACTATGTTTTATTATTCATATAATATAGTTTTATAAATTATATTATAATTAATTAGAGGGAGGAGGAGCGAGGAGGTCTAGGTTTTTAAGAAGCGCCCAAATAATAATAGAATTAGTTGGTATTATAGGGTTAACTTATAATATTCTTGTACTATATTAACTACTTTATATATTATATTTAGAATTAATACTATAGCCCAAAACTGTATACGTATTAACTATATATATAATAAATACGTATAATTATATATATACGCGTATACGGACTAACCTATTAGGGCTTTTACTTATGTAGCTAGTTCTTTATATATACTTTCCTTTCCTCTCTTCTATATAATAATATATATTTTACCCTATACTTAATAGTACTTCGCCCTATAATAATTTATTATACTTTATTATTACGCTACGTACGCTTAAAGGAAAAATTAATTAATTAAGTAATTAAAGACTTAGGCCCTTATCAATAAGATAAATATAAAATTCGAATTTATTATTAAACGGAATTAGGAATTAATTAATTAGGTATCTAATTCCTTCTCCCTTTTTACTTTAAAAATAATAACTATAAAAAATTACTACTATTATAATTAATTTAGTAATTAATATCGGACGTTCTAATTATTATAAATAATTTTATTATAATTATTATAATCGGAACCCTTTAAATTTTTAACTCTGTAAATTAAGCAATTTATAATAATTTTGTAAAGGTATTTATAAAATTTAATAGTAATCTTTTATTAATTTTCCTTCGAATTTGATTATAGAATACATTTTCGCTTTCGCGATTATCCCTGTTTTTTGCGATATAATTATTACTTTAAATTATTTAATTTATAACGACGTTATTAAGGCCCGCGACTATACTTAGAGAGTAGAGGAAAATTTAGAGAAACCTTAGAAAGAGATTTTTAATTTTAATAGTAATTTTACTATTATAGTTCTTTAATATAAGTTTAAAATTAATAAATTATATAAAGAAATTACTATATTAAAATAATCGTTCGCTAAAATAATTAACGGCGGTATCGTTTTTAATTTTATTCAGGTTTTCCTCTTTTAAATTATTATCGATATATTTATCTATATTAGTTTCGTCCTCGGGTACGGTTGCGAGGCATTCATATAATAGCGGATTAGGACTATTATTATTTAAATCCTAAATAATTCGTAGGGGATTTAATAAATTAATATCGGAGATTAGCTTAATACCCTTTAATTAAATTTATTTCTTTTTAATATAATAATTTATACTTTTTATAATATACTATATATATAATTAATATAGTATATTTAAATAGGTAGCAATAGTAGCCTTTTTAAACCCTCTATTAAAATTATTACTAAAAACGGCAGGGTTTAAAATTTTATAATCAATTTAAAGTTTCTTTAAATAAATGAACTATTAAATAAAATTATCTTTTCTTTTACTATTAGCGAAGTTAAAAGCGATATTAAAATTATAATTTAGAGTATTAATATTTATAACGTTGAATAGGGAAAAGTTAAAGCAGTTAACTTATAAGGAAAAAAAAGGGGTTAATTAAAAACAATAAATAATCAATAAGGGTAATAATATTTTATATATATTATTTATTAATAATACGTACGGGTTCTTTCTTATATTTCGATATATTATTCGAAAGTTTAAAAGATTCGCGCTACTTTTTATTACTTAGGGAAAATTAAATTTTAATATATATAATATTTAGTATTATACATCGTTTTATATTACTTAAATAAATTAATAAGTATTTTTATTAAAGTATAAAAATTATATTTTATATATTAAATACCTTGTTAAATATTTTAAATTTCTTAAGCTATAATAAAGATTTAAAGACTACGTAATTCTATAATTAGTTAATTATTAGTAATATTAGGAGGAGGAGCGACGTTTTTATCTTCGAAAGTACTATTTAAATAATAAGTAATTTAACGGACATTTATTCTAATAATATTAAATAATTTTTTAATAACTATATTAATAATTTCCTTATAATTATATCAGATTTATTACTAGTAAGTAATATTATTAATAAAATTAATAATATTTAATTTATAGTTACAAATATTATTAATTTTCTTAATGAATTACTAATTGCTTTTTTTTTTCCTTAATACAATTTGTATTTAATATAAGTAATTGAAACGCTTCGAAAATATATTTCGAATATTCTATTTAAAAAACCTATAAATACTGCTATATATATAGCGATAATCGATTTACATAATAATTCCTTCCTCCCTTTTCTTTTTACTTTTTATGTTACCTATTAATATAATTTTAAATCCCTATTATATTGCGTAGTTTTATAAGGAATTGAAAATAATAATTTTATTATTATAATGAAAAGAAGTAAATAAAGGCTGGGCTAATATTAATTTAAAGATTTTACTAGCTTTAAAGACTT